AGCATAATGATAATAAAAATTTTTATATAGTATATGATTTTATACACGGAAATGCTAATATGCTGAAAATTACGAAAATAATAGTTATGAAATTTGACGTAGTACTCAGTGGAAAGTGTTTTCACGCTTGAACTATCTGTGTCCAATTTTTTTTATCTGTAGACTTCACTAATGCGCTGATACGTACTGATTATTTGGAAAAAATTTGTGAAATTGGTTATTTTTTATAGATTTATCCGTGCTCACATTGTGCAGAAGACCTACGGCAAGATTTAGCAAAACATCCTCCAGATGTTGAGGATCGTGAAAAATTTTCAGTATGGATGTGTGGATTGCATAATCGAGTGAATAAGAAACTTGGTAAACCCGAATATGATTGTACACAGTGGAAAGAACGGTGGCTCAATGGTTGGAAGGATGGCTCTTGTGAATATTAGTTTTTATAGGCAGAATTGATATTATTTTGGAAAAAACGTTTCAGTTCATAATTTTCATCCTTCTTAATTGATTCAGAGGGGGACATTTAAATATGAATGATTTATACTGATTGTTGTTGAAAAACTTTGACTAGAATTTTTGAATTTTAATAGAAAAAATTTTTTCTACAAGAATTGATGTTATCTTTCATATATGTAATAGTTTTTTATGATTTTTATGATTATGAAACTACGTTTTATTATTTCCATGAAATTATGTACCCATCTTCTGATGCGGTTTTATTTTACTGCATAATGCACATAAAGTTTTATGAATAACCATATGATGACACTTTCATCGACAGCTGTTTATCTGAGCTTATTCAGTCTTTTAATTGATGGAGTTTAGAATTTTTTAGTTGCTGGAATTAAGAATGCTGATTTATTTGAACTTTTAGTTAGTGGTTCCTTAAAACTTCGATTTGAAGTTTTTGCGACTTCTTCATTATTTTTGACTCTTCTCTAAGGGAAAAAAAACTTGTGGTTTTTTAATTTGCTCTCTTCTCTTTTTCTTTCTTCCTCTCTCTGATCTACTTCATTGTGAAAGAATTACGTCTTCCAATTTGAAAGTATTGTTCAATCTTTTTGGAGTGAAGGTCTCCTTCTGTTTATTCCATACTTTATTTCTACAGCTTTTATCAAGATATGAATATTGAAGGATTGTTATTTCTAAACAGTTATTAAATCTTCCAGTTTTACTCAAAGTTCGATATTGTTGACAAAAACTGATATTCGTAGATATTAGTGTTAAATTATTAACAACAATCAAGTGATTGAATTCATCGTGAGAGCTGTTTTGTGTCAGAAGCGGTGTAGAGAAACGAAATAGTGCATTGAAGTAAATGTTCGTTTTGTAGTCAAGTTTTATTTCCATTATTTTCTATTTGTAGTGCTCACCTTAAAATAAATCAGCACTGCGTATTGGTATGATATAGATAGCCTAGATCAAATTATAAAAGAAATAAGTGCCAGTCAAAAATAAAGGTGAGCGTAACATATTTTTTACCTTTAACATAAATGCAAATCGGGATACCAGTTTTATTTTAATTTATTCCCTAATTATATTCTAATTGAATGAAAGTCCTTTTTATTATGAAGAATATTTAAGCTAATTATTTTTGACGGTTAATTATGTTCAATTTATTGTAGGATTGCAGCGCTATTCTTGGTCCAAAAACTAAAGTGGAATCGGAAATGAGATCGGAATCCGAAGATAGTGACGAGTGTATAAATGAGGAAAAGGAAGCTTTCAGGGATATCGATGATTTAAATACTAATTTGGCATCTGAAGATCACATTTCCAATTATCCGAGTGCGAATTTATGTAACGGTTTGCAAAATTTTGGGATGAAATTTCTGTGTTAATGTAGTTTGTGAAGATGTGCAATGTTTCCCGCGCTAAGATTTTAACTTTAGTATCTAAAAATTGTAATCTTAATGCTTAAAAAAGACAGGATATATTTAACTCCTTTATAGTGTCTGTTCACTACACTTATTTACTTGATCCTTGAAAAACGTTTGCTTTGTTACCAACTATGATAATGATTTCAGGTATTTTGAAAATTGAACAAGATAATAATACGGTAAAAAAAGATCCACAAATTGCTTCAAGCAATATGGAACCGCAGGAACTGTTTTGTTGCGATGAAAAAAGTAGTGGTGGCAGTAGCACGGACGAGGAATTGAAGAAATGGGCTATCACTCCGAAGATTTCAGCAGATTTTTCATGTATTTATTGTGTTTTCATTATTTTTCCTTTGGGGTTGAAAGAACTGCATAAAGGGTTTCTCCAGATTCAACCGATACTTAACAATATTTCCAAGAATTTCTCTCTCTTCCCTCCTCTCTTCGCATACTTTCAATAAATCCTTTTATTTTATTATGTGAAATCACTAATTTGGTTGAGCATAGTTAGCAATGGTAAATATTGTTAAGTAATTTGAAATAATCATTAGAAAATATCTCCATAAATATATCGTATTCTTCAATATTTTCAAGTCGGAAATATTGTATTGTAAGTGATCGGAAATTTATATATTTCAAGAGTATGCACTTTCAGATTACCGTTATTCTTTCACAACGTTCAATATAATTTGGCATTTATTTAGATGGTGAGAATAAACTTATATGTTCATTGAAAAGAAAGAAAAGCAGGGAAAAGATGAGGCAGTTTCAAATGGAAATTTTTTTGCATCAATCATTGAAATGCTTTGTGGCGCTGAATTTGAGGGTTTGAATATTCACTTTCGAGAGTGTATAATTTTTGTTTATACTAGTTTTGAAGCAAACTATATGTTTATTATGAATAAGTTATTTTATTTTCGTAGATTTATTTTTCTTGAATTATCTTGTAGTGTGTTGGGTGCATTTATTTTCCACATCCATATCTATTCTCGTTCGCATTTCTTATAGTTTTCGAATGGTAAATTAGAGATAGCTTCATCCATCATGTTCGTTATTATTTTATGCCTTAAGTTTACTTGCTTTGAGTTATCAATGACTACTGTCCTAATAGACTGTGATTATCTGAGGAGGCTTTTTGAAAAACTTGAAACTTATTATTCTGACCTTTTCACTAATTGTCTTCAAAGGTACTGCCTTAACACTTTATCTTAGATGCACTGGTCGATCAAATGATTATTTCAGTTTTGGGGAAGGTCTCTGGACATTTATTCATTCTTCAATCTTTTCTGAAGATTACGAGGCATTTCGTATCGCAATTAGGAGAAGAATAACAGAAACGCTGAATATTGCTACAAATCTAAAAATCGGGAATAGGTGCATTACTCTTATATCTGTATAAAAGAAAGGTTTATTTGAAAAAATTATTTAAAAAAGATTTTTTTGTCTCTAAGTTTATTTTGACATGAAAAAGCCCAAATAATTTGGAGTTTGTTGCAGTTTAACCGTTGATACTCCTGAGAAAAGAAGTTACTTTTTATCCAGCCTATACAGCGTCGATTTCAAAGAAATCAGAAGAATTGGGCGTGGAGGCTTTAAAGAAGTTTTTCATGTAATACTTGGAATTTCATTTTAAACAGTTCTGTCTTGCTTATTAGTAAGATTGTAATGAACTTTTATAGCTTTAAGAATTTCAAGCGCTTTCTTATGAATTTTGTTTGAGGTACTTTCTAATATCGATAACTGCGATATCAAATTTTAATTTGATAATTTAAATAAAATTCGAAATTAAGAGAGAAAGTTACTTGGATGAACTCATCTGAGAAGGAAGAAAAAAGCATGTCATCGTCAGCTAATTGCTCAGATTTTACTCAAATGGTATGTATCGCCTCAGAAATGACTGAAATTTTTTTTTTTTTTTGCGAATGCTTTTCGTTTTGTTAAAATGTTTTTGTGTAAAATCACTTCTTACTATAATTTTATAAATATTTTCGTACTTTGTTATTTTAATAAGGATTTTTTTATTTGATTTAGGGTGAGAAGGATGATTCGGGGGAACAATTGGCTGGGGTTCCCGCAAAACTGGGCCGTTTTTGGAAGCTGGAATCTTCAGCGAGTTCAATGATTTCAAAAGACTGGAAGATGCACCAAAATCTTTCTACCAATCAAAGCTTAATGATTACAAGAGCCAGCATGAGAACTGATCCAATAAATTTGATGTTGCCTCAATCGGTAAGCGGAATTAGTTAATTTTAAAACTGAAATCCTCTGCATCGATTTAATTTATTTTTAGGGTACCGCAGTTATGTTCATACAAATGGAACTTTGTTCACATACTCTCAGCGATTATTTTGCTGAACGAAATGCCGGTATTTTTTTCATGTTTTCTTTTTCTGAGGATTGTTATTAATGACTTCACTGGAGTGTTAAAAAGGATGTGAAAGATTTTTTAATATTTTTAATACGCCATGAAATTAAATTTGTTGCAGAAATCAGACCGAAAATAGATTGACAGCTGAATAGAAGTATCATGGAATAACTAATGTCTACAGTGACTTACTTACATTTCAAAAAAATTCATCGGGATATCAAAGTTTGTTTTGTTCTGATCTCGATACTTCCAAAAATCAATTACTATTTATTGTTTTTCTTTATAATTTGAAAAAAAAATTCAAAGAAAAGTGGTGATGTAGTTTTTTATTTTATCAAGAGATTTGCTTTTATTGTAATTTCATGCGACTTAATTTATTTACTTACATTTGTAATAATTTTGTCCAGATGAGCTTTTGGGGCATTCAAAATGATTTGTCTCATTTAATACATACCTCATATATATCTAACTTTCCTTAGTTAATGGATTCTGGAATTTTTGTTGAAACTGTTTATTCTGATCTCAGACTTGTCATTCATTTAAGTACATTTCAATTTCTCTAGTCTTTAAACTTGTATTACAAAAGTTAAATATCGAGCCCAACTGTAAAACGGTGCATATCGCTTGATGGGACCTGATCGTAATACTTTAATTTTAAATTTTAAATTAGAAACAACAATATTAACACCTGATGTAATTTGTTTTTAGCCGAGCAATATTTTTCTTCGTAATGAGACTTCTTCTCCAATTCCAACTGTACTTTTGGGCGATTTTGGACTAGCGTGTCTGCACCAAACTAAAATAGTTTACAATACTGCAGTTGCTGAAAATAAAACAACCACTCATATCGAAGGTGTTGGTACTTCTGTGTATGCGGCACCTGAACAGAAAAATTCCACCGTCTATGATAATGCAGTAAGTGACTATTATTATTCCTTTACATGGAATTTAAGATAATTACTTGTGTTTTTAGTAGTTTTAGGCAGTTGTGATTTGATCTATATTAAGGATCATAAAAGCCATGGAATCCATTCTCTGCCCAATTCTGATCACCCTTGAGCATTTTAATAATTTTGGATAATTTTAATAGACTCGTTTTTCACTTATTTTATAACGCTCACAATTTTTTACCACTTATTTTATTCAGAAAAGATAGAAAAAGGTATTTTCGTGAGCGGAAATATATTTTAACCGTTTCAGGTTGATATCTATAGTGCTGGAATTGTATTTTTTGAACTATGTATTCCATTTCATACGCAAATGGAGCGATTAGAAGCTATTGGAAAGTTGAAAAAAGGAGAATTGAGCAAGGAATTCAAAACTTCTTTTTCTGATGAGGTTTGTCTTTTACTAGTTTTGTGACTGAAAAAAGTGAGCTTTATGGAGTTCTAAGTGCTAATATTGGTGTTTCAATTTATGATGAAAACTTTGTGAAGAACGGATTAATAAAGGAGTTCTTACTACTTGTCACCTCGGAGTTTGCTTTTATTATCTTATCGTGATATCGACTAGCAATCATTAACCATTATTATTGTTTCAGGATGGGCTGATTGAGGAAATGTGCAGGGATAATCTTGAGAAACGACTTCATGCTTTTGAAATTGTCACTAAACTTGGTAAAATTGGAGAAAATGTGGAATCTCTTAAGTACCATATCCAAGAACTTGAAAATGAAGTTATGACTTTTACTTGATAATGCTAAAGAAATTTGAAATATTTAAGTTTCGTGTTGAATTGGTAACTTAAATTTTATTGTTGGATAATCAGTTTTATTGTTGGTTTTTTCAAGTATATGTTGTTTTTTCAAAAATTTATTGTTGGTTGTTTTTTCGATTATTTTTATCTTCCATTATATTATCTTTTTTATTGAATTTGTTACGGATTTCAAGTAGAATTTGGCCTGAAAATGTTGGAGTTCAACCTTTCATGTTAATCTTATATGTGGTATTCAGTCCATCTTTTTTTTTGATTGCTCATAATGTAATCCGGGAATTAGATTGGAATAATAAGAAAAATCAATTATTTCTGATGTAATACAAAAATTTGTAAAAATTGTTTCCAAGGATTTTTTTCTAGAGAAATTATTTTGGGTCCACTGATTTTGTCCTTCTTGTCATCAGTAATATCTATCATATCTTTCTCTTTCTTTTTTGTCAGACTTTTAATGATGGAATTAAATTTTGTATGCCTTAACTCTTATGATCTTAACTCTTATGATCTTACGTAGCTTATGATCTTATGTTTTTCCACAAGTTACTTGATTTGTTTTTCAAAATGCTTTGCTTCATTGTTCAAAATAGACAAAACTTTGATTTTCTTCCTTATGACAAATATAAATAAAAGTTGTTTATACCGTGGTGTACTTATCGTGGATGTAATTTCTAATTGGATGAAATATTTTGTCATATTCTTCATTTTGGGCAATAACGGTGGACTGATCGAGAATTTTCAGACCTTTCTTGGGAATCAGATACATCTCAACAGTATCTTCGGAGATATGTTATATTGGATAGTCGATTGATTATCAAATAAATGTAAATATGTAAATATATATTAGGGATATATAAAAAATTTCTTTAGAATTCTTCATATAAGTTTCGCAACCAAATTGAGATAAAAGTTCCACCCTCCTCTTTTATCAAATTTGAATCTTCCCCTACAGATGATGATGTCTTGCTGTCATCCATTCCTTCGATTTGCCCATCTGTTGACATATTTTTCCAGAGAGAAAAGGAGGAAGAAGAGGATGAAGGGTAAGGAAATGGAAATTTTGACGAAGCTGCTGACATTCTATGTCTGATTTTCCTCTTTTTCTGCTCTATTTCTACATGTCATGATTGATTGCATCTTTTTTACACGTTTTAATTACCTAATAGTAGATGAGTTACTGTTATCAAGATCTGAATGTAATTTTCTAATGGGCGCACAATAGATAACTACGGTATTTATCATGCAACATGTGTCATATCATTCCTATCTTCAGATACTGTGGTGTCCTAGAGAATTGTAATCGAAGGAATTCATACTAATTGTATCATGATATAGTTGATATCAAATCAATTCAGACTTTTGTCATTTGATTTATTTCTAGCTTTCGGTAAACATCAAAGAGCCACAGCTTTTTTTGAAAAAAAATACAAATATGGATGTTTTACTTGATTACTGCCGTAAAGATGTGAATATTAGCAAATATGCAACCGATGAACTATTGCTCACAAAACATGTGGATTTCATCAATCTTTATGTTGAAAATAAGGGGTCATATGTAAGTAATTTGTTCAAAGATTTCTAAAAAATACTTTTTGGATTGATTAAGCTTTACTTATTCTAAAGTTTTCTACCGCCCTGTAGTATGCTGAATTTTTAGAAAGTATGGAATTTATAAATATTTTTCATTAAAAATAAGATTAGAATCGATTATAAAGAGTTGATCATCTGAACACAAAAATTAATAATTTTTCAATAAAGTGAATTTTGCAATAATTGAGGTGCTGAGTTTTATGGTAAATTGAGTTTCACACGTTTAATTATAGGAAAATGTTACTACGGAATATCTTCGAATGAGTGGTATCTATTGGTGCTTGCAAGCAATGGATATAATGGACAAATTGCGTGAAATGAATGCCAACGAGATTGCTATTTACGTAAAACAGCATCAGCAACCAAACGGCGGTTTTGCACCTGCTGAACAACACGATGACCATTTACTGCATACACTGAGTGCTGTACAAGTAAACTTTTATTTGTTATTCTCAAAACTGCTATAGAAGCAAAGCAATGCTACTATATATCTGATTGCTCAATTCAATACTGCAAATAGATACACACAAGCATGTTGCATTTGCGCTTTTCATGAATGAGATTTAGGTAGCATTGAATTTCTGTCTGAATTTGGATTTTCAGTCAAATAAATACATATGAAATATTCAAGTATGATCAGTAATAACACTGACTCACAGTAATAATTTTGAAAATAAATATGGTGACTAAACATTGATTTTATTTAAAAATCAACAGTAGCAGTTATTCGTAGCTTCGTAAAGTCTAGAAAAATTAAGCCGTTTTCCCAATGGTCAAATGCGCGTTAATTTATTTGTATTATATGGTTAAACGAACCATATTGACTTCTGATAACCGGCCGTGACGCACCTGTGACTTCTTTCCTCGTAAGATTCTCTTTGAAAAATCTATCTGCCGCTGCGTAAATCATAGTTTGCCGCATACAAATAAATATGCTAACAAAGGATTATGTTGCGGTATTAATCAAAAGAGAGGTGGAGAAGATAAAAGTGGCATTGTGCAATGTAAATCAGTTCATCTCCTTGGATTAGAAATTGATGATTGTGTCTAATTATTAACGCATTTTCCTTGTACTTTCCACTTTTCTCTCCACTTGCATATGGACTTACTAAAAAAATATATTATCATCACTGGTCATCCTGATCTTTATCATCCATTTTTATTGATTATTAATGACAGATTATTTTACCCTTTCCTTTTCTGTGCATTTTAAATTAACAATGGCTTGGAGCACAGATCATCAGCTTGTCGTTTGCTTTTACTGCGTGAATTTTTCTTGCTAAAAAGTTTTTTCTGGTTATGTTTTTCGAAGTTTCTAGAAAAAGCTATATTCTTTTTATATTTATCTATTATGTTTTTTCAACAGAAGTGAAACTTGATTTTTACGGAATAAATTTACCCCTAAAAAATCCTGAGAATACCAAAAACCACGAAATATATTATGAATTTTGATTATATAATGAACAGTTACAGAAGTTCTATATGATTCTTTCTGAAAAACTGTTTTTTTTTTTTGAGTTTCTGAGATATTTTAGATAATGATAATGCTACGTAAACTGGATGAAATTGATACAGATGCGGTGGCCCGTTATGTTACATCCTTACAAAATGAAGATGGAAGTTTTGGCGGCGATGAGTGGAATGAGATTGATACTCGCTTCTCATTTTGTGCACTGGCGACGCTTCATTTGATTGTAAGTCTAACAAAACATTATTCATAAGTTTGACAAATTTACTTAATTGAAGATTTTTCTCTTTAAAACAGGTTTAATAGTTCCTTTTCATGTGGATCACATCTAATTAATAGCAGGAAAATATGGAATCGTTTATAGCAAAGAAAATTATTTCATTTATTATTTCATTTAATTGACAAATTTGCTAGAAATAACTGCAAATAAAAGCAGAAGAAAATTCACCTCTCTTATTATAAAAAAATTTTCTGCTCGAAAATATATAGAATCACTTATCCATTTTTTAGGGAAAATTAGAAAACTCGATAAATATAGAAAAAGCTATTGACTTCATTCTTCTTTGCTATAATTTTGATGGTGGATTTGGAAGAAGGCCTGGTTCGGAAAGCCATGCTGGACAGGTCTGTGGTCACAGTTATTGTTTTCCTAATATACTTGAAATGCAATTTAAATAATATTTAAAGCAACAAATTTGTTGACAGGTGTATTGTTGTTTGGGAAGTTTGGCGATATTAGATTGCTTGGAAATGATCGACGTTCAGCGAACAGCACGATGGCTGGCCGAAAGGCAATGTCGATCAGGTGGTCTGAATGGTGTGTTTGATTTTGCATACTTTGTTTGCTTTATTTTATTAAAATCAAACTTCGATTGAAAATTAAGTTTAATTTTTTGTATTTTTAGCTGAAATTACATAAATATTTCCAGCATGAAAGAATAATTTGTTTTTTTGAAGGGAAATAATATAAATTTCTCAGATCGTTCCAATTATGTTTGCACTAAATGGATAACTTTCTATAAACAAGTTAGAAGTAAAAAAGAGAAAATAAGGAATAGTTACCAAAGCGAAAACAGATTATAACGTAATTTTCTATCGATTAGAAGAGAGCAAAAAACAATGTAGAACAAGGTTGTGGAAGGTTAAAGGTCACAATTCAGTAGAACTACAGCCAGTTCTCTATGTGTTGCCAAATTAGCATTTAAATAGTGGAAAAATAGTGAGCAAGTTATCAGCTTTATGGACAAAATAGACTTTATTTAATTGAAGATAATCTTTTCTATAATGAATGAGAATTATTCAAATTACCGGTACATGGAAGATTTAGCAGTGACTAATGACATAATATATTGTACCATTGTTGTTGTTGTATTACATTAGTTAATCCCTGCAGAGTGAATGAAAAGAATGAAGGCGTCACTGGATAATAGCTATGATGACATTACTTTCATCGAATGATTTACTACGTACCCCTGCTGGTTACCTCTTTCCTGTTAATGATTTTTTATCCTCTTACTTATTGTGGGCCTTTATTAAATCAGTAAACTTTTTCATTTAAGATCATTACACAATGTAAACATAATGACCTTAAATGCGAAATTTGTTAATTTTCATAAGAAAAGCAGTGTGATAGTATAAGTGTAGTGGCCTTTTTCTTTGTTTCCAATGTATTTCTTTTTCTTCTACATTTTATAGTACGTCTCAACAAAGTTATATATTTTTATCGATTTTTTGAGATTTTATGAGTTACAGTGTGAAGGACTGCATTATAATGATTATCGATTAGTTGACTTTTTCATACCTTCGGTGCTAATCACAAAATGATAAAATATATCGACTGTCATTATAGTTCAGTTCTTCACATTCTTTAAAAGAAAGAAAGAAATAATCTTAAAAACTCAACATTTTTTTCATGTATGAGTGATTCGTGAATTAGATCAAGGTGACCTTTTTGAAACGATATTATGGAGATGTTTGCACTAAAGATAGGATTTAGTAAAGGACGCGTGGCGTGAAACATAATAAATTAAAATAGTTGTCCATTTGGACTGTTCATCAACTAACTGTACATAAATGTTACATTCTCTTTTAAAAGGTTATACGATTTACGCATCATTATACGCATTATCGGACATGTCATCAATAACAGTGGACAGGGAAAAAAGGGCAAAGATGAGAATATTCACAAAAATTGTCACAGTGTCTGTTAAAGTACTTATTTTCTGTTGTATTTCCCAACATATACTAACAAACTGATTGCAATCGGAAAATACATGCTGAGATACATTCTGTTAATGTGTAAAGAAATGTCCGTGGAAGAAGAATGTCTAATGCAAGTATAGATGCCTAGCACTAAATAGCACAAGAAAAGGACAGATGCACATAAATCTCTACTTGTACGGTTGAGACCTATGATATTTATCCTGTTACATCTTTAAAGAAAAGTTTCAGGTAGACCAGAGAAACTACCAGATGTTTGCTACTCCTGGTGGGTACTTGCATCATTGAAAATACTTGGACGATTACACTGGATTGATAATGTTAGTAACATTTTTGAAATTATTACTTGTTAGAATCTTGAACTGAAAACTTTATGACATTAAGTATTGACAGCATAGCAAATTTTCGAGATTGATCTACTGAATTTACCAGTTGTTTCAGAAGCTGATGATAAAATATATATTGGCATGTCAGGACAAAGATGGCGGTTTTGCTGATAGACCGGGAGATGTGGTAGGTCCATATTTTATTTTATATTTAACATTGATGCAGAATTTCAATGTAAGAATAAATTCTTTTGTTGATTTTCATGCACATACATCTTTTATTCGATCATTATTTTGGTAGATCTCATTTTGTAGATTCGTTAATGACTGTTCATTGTCTTGTTTCATAGTTTGGAGGATTATGTCTGTTTTTCTTTCAGAAATATCTTTCTGACTTCTTTTTCAGGCTGATCCTTTCCATACTGTTTTTGGGCTAGCAGGATTAAGCTTACTTGGTGGTCACAGTAAATTGTTGACAACAGTTGATCCTGTATTCTGCATGGCGAAAAAATGTCTTGGTAATTTATCTGTCTGTTAAAAACAATCCTGTGATAAACTGTTTCACTTTTTTAATGAGATAATTCATTATTTATTGATACCAATTATGACAACTGCTTCATTCGCTCCCTAATATTCCATGCAATTTTTAAAATTAAAAGTGTAATTTTCAAAAAAATTTTGCTTTTTTTCCCTTGACGTTTTTAAAGTAAATGTAATTTATAAAAGTTTTTTATATAAAGTTTAAGATGGACTCATTTTAATTTTTTTTTTCAATGTTTTCCTTATACATAATGGAATGTTGAAAGTTGTATTGTATTTTAAACATCGAATGAAGCAACGAAGAAGGAAATAAATTCAATATTTTGAACATTTCTCACTTTTAAAAATTTCAAAAAAAAATCTTAAAATGTGACCAATGTAGTATGCACTGTATTATCAATATATGGAGATGGGAGCGGAATGAAGTGGAAAGTGGGTAATTAAAGGATTCGGGAGTGCGCAACAGCATTATGCCTTGCCATCACCGTGTTACACAAAATTTTTATAACCATTATAAAGCTTTTTATGTTTGATAGGAATGTAATGCCGCACGTGTACATAACCTATAATAATGTCATATTTTTGATAATTGTAAAATTGTGGTTTTCATAATTTTACAGATATTATTCTTTGTTACCGCTGATTGTGTTTATCGATGTATTCTGTTGATGATAGCGATTGTATTTCACCGATTTCCAAATTATTCCTATCTTTTTTATTTTTTTTAATTCTTTATTATTTTATCAATTTCATATATTTTTATAGAAGCACTAGATTTATTCCGCAGAATTTGAGAATATTGAAGTTTTTTTTTCTGTGAATTACTGATTCTTTTGATTGCAGTATTTTCCTAGAAAATATTTCAAAAAAAAAATTTTCTTAGAAAACATCAGAAACATATGCATCAATGTTTGTGCAGTTGATTTATTTATTTACATTTGATATTTTTATGTACGTTTGACATTTTTAAAAAATAAATATTTTTAAAATGTCTGCATTTTTTTGTTCATGAGCTAATTCAATCGTGATTCTGATGATTTCAGTGGTAAAAGTATGAAAAATTTTCAAGTACTTCAATATTTTGTGCGAGACATTCACTCCGAATGTTTTTAAAATCCGAATTTCAATTAGGAAAGTACATAATAACCATACTGAACTAAACAGAAGCATGATTTTTGCTACCTATTCTAGACTGCTTAGAATGTATAAATTATTTGGAAACATCAAAGAATAAGCAATAAGAATTGGAGGAGTAGAGAATTATACGAGTTAATCACGTACGTGAATTAGGCTGAAATAATATTGAATGTGAAGTGAAAATTGTAAAAAGAGGGAAAATTGCAGAAGCTTTATATTGAAATTGAGTCAAATTAAAGGCTAATAGGATTGAATGCCACCTCTTTTTTGCAAATGTACTTATCATCCTTGATTTTTCACAGATCATTTTTAGCATGCTTTAAATATGACGTACGATCACATATCACTCACTTCTTTTGCTACAGTGCTATCATTGTTCTTTTCATTGTAACAAACTAAAACGAAGAATTTATTATGCAAGAAGCGACATTGTATATTAATGAACATTAAATGTTAAAAAGTGATAATAATGCGAATGATTCTTTCATTAAAAATATTTCCCATATATACACCTGAGCCGCGCAATGAGAAAAAATTTTAAAGATTTTCAAAAACTATTGCTGTAAAACTGCCCTACTTGAATTTGCAATTAGAATGATTATTATATAAAAATGGATAAACTAAAAAATAATTAAGCATAGAATTTCAATCTTTTGTTAACTTGATGAATTGAAAAAATTATGAAGCAGTTAATGTAATACAGTAGTGGGCTAATACAGTACTAGGCTTTCCTAGAGAGCTTTATATCACCGAAATCGAAAGGATTCATTATTGAAATATTAACTTCTCAGTATTTCAACAATAAAGATAAACTTGTGAGAAGACATTACATTGAAAAGTATTAAACGGAAATAGCGCAAGACGAGGTAACATTCAACAAAATGGGAAATTTAGATGGGTTACCGTAACATTTTAATGGATAGATGATTTTCTTAGAAAGAAAGAGAGAGAGAGAGAGAGAGAGAGAAAGGAATGAGAGAAAGAAAAGGACAGCAATTGGGATACCGATTGTGCCCAGAAATTTATCGCCACGCCCAAATCTTAAGAAAAATTCAGTTTTGATTGCATGCATTGGATGACATATGGCTCTTTCACATATTTTACTGATAGAAGTTTGCTAATGACAGTTACCGATTTACCGTTAGAAATGTCTTCCTCATCGACGTTATCAGCAAGTTGGCAACAGCACTATTATGCATCATCAAAAACTGCGCCCAACAAGAAATCTGCTCATTTTACAACCATTCCTACAACTGCTAATTTTGATAATCAGCCATGCGTATATTGCGATCAATCTGATGAGAATTTCTCTTGGAATCAAAAGTAAGATTATTTTCAAAAAAAGTTTGCAAAATTTTATCACAAAATTATTTACTGTTGCGTTAACCATAGATATGTGTTTGAATAATTTCTATACTTACTTGTTTATTCGCTGATTGATAGAAGTGATATCATAAAATGATTGTATAACATCTTAATAATAAAATTCGAGAATTTTAATTTCATGCAAAAATCAATCCCTAATACTCGTGAATATACTTATGTAATCTAAACATGATATCAAGTAATGATATTAAGTGATCGATTAAAATGTTTCTGTTAAATGATTTGCCTAATTACTTATACTTTTCTAATTGCTATTTTTGTTGAACATGTAGTACAGAAGTTTTATAAATTGGCTACTTTTATGACTGTCTGAAATAAACTTAATATTTATTGCTGTTTAAGAACACATAACATCAAATCATTGGTCGGATTTCTTTGTTATAAGCTTATTTTCGACTAACTTCATATTAGCTTTTTTCTTAATTACTATCCTCATAATTAGTAATATGTCAAATGACTAACGTGTAAAACTACTAATTACAATAATTTGTGCTGTGATCAGCAAGAATGGACAGCAGTAAAGAATATAAACTTTATGGAAATCAATGAGTATTTCAGTTATATTCAGAAAGAAGAGGAAATAGACCAGTTGGAAATAAAAGTACCGCGGAAAAATAAAGGTGGTGCTCGACGGTACAAAACACCCAGTCCACAATTGTTACGGATGCGACGTCAAGCAGCGAATGCACGTGAACGACGACGAATGAACAATTTGAATGATGCATTCGATAAAGTTAAATTTATTATTTATAGCTCATCCTATATAACTCAGTGAAAAATAGATGATTTAAAAAAAAAAAAAACTCAAAAATATTAAAAAGCGAATAGAATTATGCAAAACCAGGAGATCAAAAAAAGGAGAATGACTTTTTTTTAGAAGAAAAAATCTTACTGATTATATTTTACCTAACGCTTAATGCTATAGGCTTCGAAGAATCTGACAGACATATGAAAAATTATATACAAAATTTTAAAGATAAGCCTAATTATGTCAATTTCTTCTTTTACCCCTATGACAAATATGATAAATAGAGAGTAAAATATAATAAACATATCTTTTTCATCACAAACACAAAATACTATCTCATATTAGTAATGGGAAATTAATCAGTTAAAAAGTAATTATCTCATTCAAATAGCATCGCATATATCAACCGACAATATTGAATGTTATTACAGATTAACAGTAATATTGTAGAAATATATATTATGCTTGCAAATAACTTACCTTCAAATGATTTTATCAAAAAGTTTCTCTCTTTCCCATCTTAATTGTTTTTGTTTTAGCTGAGAACTGTATTACCATCAGTAGGCACCGGTCGAAGATTGTCGAAATTCGAAACGCTACAAATGGCACAGCAATACATTGATTGTTTAGCAGAATTGTTGAATAAACCACGATGATTTGTCTTTTTTTGCCTTGTTTGTAAATAAATTTTTTTTTCTAGTTTATCAATCAAACGGATGATTAAGTTTATTTTTATCTCTTCGAATATAACAGTCTTAAAATAACTGTGATATCTTCTTATACAGTAATGATCTTAAAAAAGGTTAGCTTTTAATGTTTAAATTATTCAACTTGTTACCTATGTGAACTGTAACAAATTTTCTTAAAATTGGCATTGCTTTTTTTTTAGCATCAAATTAACCTTACTTTAGTTATCGTCATTTAATGGCGGAAGGAATATTGCAATCTGTTTTATGCAAGTTCAATCTGGAATATTTAACAAGCATAATTTACTACGAAATGCTCAGATAGAGAGTTTGATTAAAATTATTGACAACATATTGAAAAAAATATGTTAAACTTTTAAGACTTAAACGGTATATCATTCTTACTTCAATTGGTCACTTGTAAGTCAATTAACAAGTAACATATGCTGCATGCAATTAAATCAGATATATGCAAAAATGAAACAAATGTCTGGCATTTAAACAATCTCCAAGCCTTATCATAATCACTTCTGATGCGACTAAATTTAAATATGAATGATGAGAATGACTAAATTATAATAAGTTCCCTCGCGATAATTGCTATTTTCAAGTATTCCAGTAAAAATAATGGGGTGAAATTTTTTATTTTGTCGCAGTATAATCGCAAAATTGTGTATAAATAAATTCCTGGCGGCTTACCAAGGCGGTTTTATCCTTTGATGTATAGTGTGAATTTATTTTTTTATTTTTATTTAAACTATTTCAAAACATTACTGGGATCATTAAAGGTTTCTTTGTGTTCCTCCTATTGATGCTCTCAAAAAATGCCCATTTTATTTTTCAGGAGACAATACTTTTCCTACAAGTTCTCTCTTTCTTATAAGGAATGGAATTTTTCATGAATTTAATACAAATGATTAGTACATTTGGATACACTTAATGACCTAATTAGTCATCTAATTTAGATCATTCCTTCAAAGATTAATTGATATTTCCTTACACAAAATACATTTCTTGTTTTCTTTTCCTAAAATATTAGATATGATATTTATCCATCTATAGCTGCAAAGGGTTTTTGTTTTCATAACTCGTTATCTATTTTTTTTTTAAATGTTAGTGAGCAGGTAGTGAAGGTAAGTGCGACAAAAGCGCCACGTCTTTTGTGAGTTAATTTGAGATTTCTCTTGCAACCATTCTATTTCCAGTTCACTATTTTCATATCTCACCTTCTGCGCATCTTATTTTTTCTAAAGTCCAAAGCACTATTGTGCCGATATTTTGGCCTAACAAGTAATATGCAAATAGCATTTCAGTTCTCTCAATAATTTGTTAATCTTATTAAATAGCATGCAACCTATGTGATTCTGTTCAAATTTCGTTACGCATTTACTAATTCTGATTCTTTTTGGCTTTTTACTTTTATTTTGCTTACTTTTTAAAACTAAAAAATTTATTTATTTGTTTTTCGAATAAGTATGTTAGTGAGATGAACTTAACAAGTACTGAAGGTAGGTGCGACAAAGGCGCCGTGTCTTTTGTGAGCTAATTTGAGATTTCTTTTGCAACTATTGCTTACTGCATTACCTCCGATCAGCGCTATTGTTTATGAATGCGCCGAACTGTTCCATGACGCTTGCACAGTAATTATGTGATAAGCCATCATTAGCGAGGGACAATATTGTGAAAGCGTGGAATGGGATATAATTACATGACCGTTGACCTTTTTTTGATGTTACCTGCACATTATTTTTGATAAATCTTTGCCTGAAAAGAAAGCAATTACCATCAATAATCAAATCCATCGTTATGTTCACCTTTCATATCTCTATGAAATAGCGGCAATGATTATACAATTCAAGGGTTTTACAGCTAGAAAAAAGCATTCCATAGTCTTAATTTTATCATTAATTTCGTTGTCTTATCAATAATAATTTTAAGCTTCAATTTTCAATTCTCTTCAAATCATAAAGTAGCAGCTTTAAACCTACAAACTCGAATTTCATTCAAATTTGAAAAACTGAAATTCAGTTAAAATTTAAATCCCCAAGTCCAAACTTTGTCTAATTTCTAGATTTGAATTCTGTTCGAAAAAAATATTCCTTAGAATTCTAACCTATGATACCAAGAAATTTTCATAAGTGGTTGACAGTTTGGCTTCATTTCAATGGTTGACAAAATTCGGACCTGTTATTGACGTGGCGGAACTGTCAGTTGGCAGTCTGCTAGCATGAGTGTGACTTTTCTTCCTCCCCCGATCCTACCCTGACTTCTTATTTCTCTGCAATGTTCTAAATTTTAAATTTGGACATTTTTTTTCTTCACGAATCTATACATAATGTTGAGTAATAATTTATTTCTTTCGTTGCTTTTGACTTTTTCATTATCGTTTATTGGTTTTAAATGCTATTAATTTAATAAGTAATTATGCGTTAATGCAAAAATAAAAGTTAAATTTTATACCATTCAGCTAAATCTTTATTCGGAATAGTTATTATGCATTATATGTAGATTCATGAAGAAAATTATGTCCAAATTTATTGACGATAAAGATTGATCGGGCATATGTTATCTTTTTTAAATCATTATGACATTAATTATGATAGAGTACGATAGATGACCATTGTGTCGTCAGGATTGATATCAGAGAGATTAACTAGAAAGTTATTGAAGTAAAGTGCATATGTTCAAATTGTACTTTATAGTAATCTCGATATAGCGGTCTTTATGTAAATTTATAGGATGCCAACAATAGATTACGAGCCAAAATTGGATTTCAAGGATGTTCTTTTGCGGCCGAAACGATCTACATTAAAGAGTCGAGCGGATGTTGACCTTGTTCGTGAGTAAGCCTCCAACTTATATATATTCCTGTTGACCATATTTGTTACGCAAATCGGACTTCTGTTCTTTTATATTCTTTTATCAATGTATTAATCACTTTGATATTAATTTCGTTCTTATCAACAGTTACCGCTTTTCCTTTAATGCTACTGATTAAATGGCTAGTTTGGAGTAGTTGTATAAGTTTTGTAAATTCTACTTCTGCATATCCTTATTCATCATTTTTTTATATAAAATTTTCTTGAGCATTCTAAAACACTTCAACTGATAGCGAATACTATTAATGCAATGATTACAAATATAATTTAAATTACACTTTTCGTGGTATTACTTTCTTATCCATTTCAATTCCTTACCAACTTCAAAAATCGATCGATTGAAGAAATTAATGCTATTATTGTATTAAAATAAAATTTTTCTCAGAATTACATTCCGGAACTCGAAAAAACAGTATGTTGGCATACCAATCGCTGCAGCGAATATGGACACTGTTGGAACATTTGAAGTGGCGGAAGCTCTTTCCCAAAAAAAGCTTTTTACAGTTATACATAAACACTATTCAGTCGATGAATGGGTGGAATTTGCAAATAAAACAGGTTCGAAAGAGGTACATTGTATTTTTATATGTCGTCTATACTTCCTTTGTAATTCTAATCTCGTTTTTTGACTGCATTTAGTAATTTAAGGCAATATTTGCAAGAAAAAGAAATTTCTTCTTTTGGGAAAGAAGGAGTTGGCAACTATCATAGTTAATGTAAACAATATGATGGACATGAGCCAGAGAACTAAGTAAACATATGGAAAATTCAAATTTTATTCAGGCATTAGCACATATGGGTATTTCATCTGGAATATCTGACTGTGATTTTGCAAAATTAAAAAAAGTTTGTGAAAGAATATCCGATTTGCAATACATTTGCCTTGATGTTGCGAATGGTTATTCGGAAGTGTTTGTAAATTTTGTACGAAAAGTTCGCGAAGAATTTCCTCGGCACACAATATTTGCTGGGAATGTGGTGACAGGCGAAATGACTGAAGAACTAATTCTCTCAGGCGCTGATGTTGTAAAGGTGTGTTTGGATGAAGTTTTACAATCTAAATTTTTATGATTAGATAAATCGAGAAAATTACTTCTTTCAGATAATTCATTGTTAGTTTTAAAATCTTTGCTTTTCTCGAAACCTTTTTATAAAATTATGGCTATTGTCCATTTTTAAGAGTGGTATTTCGTTGGCTATATATCTAATACATGGAACTTTTTAGGTGGGTCTGGGTCCCGGTTCAGTTTGTACGACGCGGAAGAAAACTGGAGTTGGTTATCCACAACTGAGTGCTGTGCTGGAATGTGCTGATGCTTCACATGGTTTGAACGGACATGTAATGAGCGATGGAGGATGCACAAATCCTGGGGATGTTGCGAAGGCATTTGGTGCCGGCGCTGATTTCGTGATGATCGGAGGTTTCTCTTTTCCACCGCATGACCTTAATATTATCTATATTTATGCAGATTTTATTTATAGGCCTTTTTGCTGGACATGATCAGTGTGGTGGTGATGCTATTGTGAAGAATGGACAGAAATACAAATTGTTCTACGGAATGGCTTCTGATATAGCGATGAAAAAATACCATGGAAGCGTCGCAGAATATCGCGCTTCGGAAGGCAAGGCAATAACCATTCCATGGAGGCAAGTGTTTGTTTTGTAGAAATTACTATTTAAATGCCAATGTGGTACTATTTAAAATCCAAAATTAATATTATTTTGCAGAGGTAATATTTCGGAAACAGTACAAGATTTACTAGGTGGACTACGATCAGCTTGCACATATACCGGTGCGAAGAAATTAAAAGAGCTACCAAAACGGGCAACTTTTATTCGTGTTACACAGCAAACAAATGAACAATACAGAGCATTTGAAATACCTGCATCAGAATTACAAAAATTAGAAATTAAAATCTGATTTAGGTCCTTTGGATATTTTCCTGCATAACTTCAGCAATAAGTTCAAAGATTTTATTGAAAAAGATGTTTTTTCATTTCACAAAGCTTATCCAATATGAAGCATAATTTAAGGGAAAAGTTCTTCTAGCGTTTACTCAAAATCCTTTTCAATTACACGACATTCTTATCTGTGAAAGCTGTCAATATGAAACTTTAAATGCAGTTTTCTAAATCGTATTTATTGTACCTGAATAATTCTATCTTCTATGTGCCCAAGTTTTCTACCGGTGCCTTCCATTGAATGTGTCGCGTTTTTCATTTCTATGTTTTTTATTTAGTTTTTTTTTCGATAGATACACATTTTGGAACTTTTCGATTCCATTTTCCAGAAGACATACATTCGAGTACATTTTCTGAATCTAGACGGTATTCTGTAGAAGTACAGTAGTACACCACTTTTTCTCCAACGAGATGATATGGTTTAGCTGGCAGTGTGGTGTCTCCTTGTTCAGGTTTTCCAGGAAAACGACAGACTGGTATACCTGAAAAATTCCATCATATTCCTACTTGAGTCATAAATCGCTACTTTCCATCCCATCTTGTCAGGATTTGTGGCGTCTCTTTTGATTACCTCCATGAATTACCAAGGGAAATAAATTATTTATTAGAATTTCAATGGAAAGAACCGTTTTTTTAATTGAATAGAAGCTCCAAAGCATACATTTCACGTCGACAGAAGTCCAGTTACCATTTGCTTGACACACGCTGTAGTCGATACCAGTTAACATGTAACCACGTTTACATTCAAATACAACCACTTCCCGTACATTATATTCATCCTTCACCTCTCCAACTATTGCACCATTCCCTGGCACTTTCGGTGTTTGACATTTCACACCTTAAAATGAAGTAAAATTAATTAATGAAGAATGGTATCAATAAATAAGAATATCAGATGAATTTTTAAAAGTTACAGATAACGAGACAAATATAATTAATAAAAGTAAAATACTTTTTATGTAGTGGTTAAAAACTTACTTTTACACTGTGGTACAATTCCTGACCACTCTCCGTGTGGAAGACATTGTAATATCCGATTCCCATCCAGAAAATGTGTTAATGAACAAGAGAATCGTGCAGTACCTCCCGCCCTGAACGTTGTAACCACAGCTTTCATTTCGGGATCTATGATTACCAGTGGTGGACACTGTAATGCTACAAAAAATGCTGTACGAGAATTCATTGCATTTAAATTACATAGGCGTTTTTTAGAGATAAAGGTTGACTCTTGCAGGTAGACGTTTTCCGATAGTTTTAGGGACAAGACCCTGATGTTGAACACATCGCTTGTAAATCTGATTACTTCATGTTTCGGAAATTCGTGTGATGAGTACTCTTAAAGTTACTAATTTCGAGCTGGATAAATTGCGTAAATTATTATTACTGTCAAAGTCCAATCGTACCCCGACATTTTGGTAAGGTATGAGACCATTTCCCGGAACTTAAGCACGTCGATGAACGTGGTCCGTCAACATAAAAACCACTTTTGCATGAAAATTGTGCAACTGTTCCAATAAATAAATGAGGACTTGTGTAGAAAATCCGTAAATTTGTTGAATTTGTAAATGATGCACATTTCTGATCTGCAATAAAATATTTCGATTTTGAATATGCATTTTTACGTAAGTGATACTTTTTATTTCTTTTTGTTTTCAAAGATATTGTAGCTAAATATTAACCTTTCACAATAATTTTGACAGTATTTCGGTATCCACTTGGAAGAACACAGTGGAAAAATCCTCCATCTTCAGGGCGTGCTGCTGTTATAGTCAGCTACAAAAAATGATCAATATTACTCCGAAGAGAGATAAAATTGTTACGTCTAAATTAAAAACAACTTTCTTGAAAATGATGGAAAAGAAGAATTACTTCGTAGGCGTCTATGCTGGATTTGCCAGGCAAGTCGATTTCCACCCATGATTTTGGATACTTACGGTACGTTGTTGAAACTTCCCATTTTGGTTGCCCTTTTTTTCGAGGAAATAAACATTGAAGTCGAAGCGTTGTTGATATATTCACCACAAGATGTCCTCGTGGTGTTACGGTATGCAGGCCTCGTCCTAATTCCAAATTTATTGGCGGCGCGCCATCTGACAGAATTTAAAATTCTGAATTTTATTACACAGCGGGAGACTGGAGTCCTTGTAAATTCATACAAAACAGAAGATAACGACACCTAAACAATCGTAACATATGTAACGTGAAGCAAATAGTAATAGTAAATAAACATTGGAGGTATGATCATATAAGTCTCTAAAAATAGCTTTCTCACAAACGTTCAGTCCTTTACTAACTGATTGGAGAAAAATTGCTTTTTAAGGTTAATCAAAGGTTAATGAAAATACCGCCAACCATTTTTGTTGAATGGGTCCAATGTGATGCATTTGGGTATTTTCGGCACCCATGTGCCTCCTTTGCATGTGATAACGGCATTCCCCATAAACTGTTGCATACCATACTCTTGACATGAGAAGATTAATTCCGTACCATCTATAAATTGTTAAGATTGTAGGGAAATTCGTGAGAAAGGATTTGCTCAGGAAGAAGTATAAAAATGAAAAGTAATACAGAATCTCTAAAATTCTGAAAATAATCGGGGAACTTACCAGCGAATCGCTGATTAAAAGTAATCTGCTGTTTATGTTTGGCAGAAAAAGCAATTAAATGTGATCTCTCATTCATTCGATATTCACATGAATGTATATCTATAATTGTTCATAATGATATGATTAAACATGAATTAGTCTAATTTTTAGTTTTACTAGTGAAAACAAGTAATAATTTAAGGAATGACTAACATTTATACACAAGAACATAAAACGTTATTTAGAAAAATTTTGAAAGAGCAAATTGAAATGCTTCATTAGTGTAATGTTTTACATTCTAAGAATATTACAATAATTTAATAACGGTGCATTTCATGGCTAACTATGCCTTAATTTCATTAAAAAATTTGTTCAGTGAATCTAAACTTGTTACAGCATACAGTCTATCCCAACAATCTATCCTCATTACAACAGTACACTCATTACAACAGCATTATCAACGGTTTCATCACTTTTAAAACGCATCATTCCGGAAGTTTTATAAAAGGTTTTATTTCGATCTGTAGAAATATTAGCAATGTCAAAATCAACTTGTCATGAAGCCGAAACTTTGCTAACAATTTTCTGACCTGAATAGCAATGGAGCATACCAGCGGTAATCCATTTGCCTCTACGACAACGCAATTCCATTGTTCTAGTTTCTTCTATCAAAAATCCCACAGCACAGCCTATCTGAATTTGATCGTAAAATTTTTTGGAAATAAAAAATTTGAAATTATTTTTTAAACCAATTTCACTTAAAAAAAAAAAAAAAACGAAACGATAATTAAACAACAACAGGTGCAGTTTAGAAAATGGCAAAACACTAATACAAATCAAGTTTTTGAACTAATGCTTTTTCAATTGGATTGATGTTAAAAAATTCGAGTCAGGAAATTTGTAATAAAGAATATCTATCTTCCGCATAAATTGACGAATTCGTTTGAAAAATTAGAAAAACCTTTAAAGTAGTTCCACGAGCAAAGCGTGACTTTGTTGAAATATGAGCATTTTTTATATTAAGAATTTTGTAAGAGGAAGCAAGATTAGGCATGTTGCACATTCCATCGGATTGTGTAGCAAACGTAACTGCAGATGCATTCACTGCAAGCAGCAATACTTTTTTGCTTAAATCAATTAAGGAAATTTCAAGGAATAAAAGCAAACTAACAAGAATTGATAACAAAAGATTTGGGAAAATTCTTTTAATTCTATAAATTTCTTGGGTTGAATATAAAAAGTTACCATAAATTTTTTCAGATCCAACACCGTTTTTCGTTCACAACAAAATCAGTATTATCAATAAGACTATAATTAAAGTTTACTTCCTGCTAACTAATATATTTTTCAAGCTAAACCTTTCACGCTGACGTGTCTGACATGAGATACCTTTGCAGTGTAAAAGATAATTCGATTGAACAATGATGAAAGGTAAGTGTCAAAAGCTTAAAGAAGAACTTAGCGCATAGATTACAAAAGGCTAGAGAGCCTTCATGGATTTCATCGGTAAATAAATGTGTGTGATATCGAATAAACATTTGCATTACTTATGCAAATGTTACTCCAGCACGCAGATATTTACATTCCAGCAATATTCCATCCTCTTTTCAATATTATAATTTTCAACAGTTTAAGTATTGAGCAGAAGTTTAATTTAAATTTGACAAGAAGGAAGATTTTTAGATTTACCACAAGGTAGAAGACGCGTGAACCATTCACCATTGCGACATTCGATAGCATTCGCTTTATGTTTATATTCATTGTTGACACATATATACTGAATTATGGTATTTTGCGGAAAAGTAGCCTGTTGCACGCTCATATCTAAACGAACTGGCTGACCACTGATATTTGTTGTACGGTATGCGACAAACGGCTGATCATCGTTGGGACGACGACATGACGCAGTTTGTAATTCTGAAGATTTGAAATAATGTTATGCTATATGCAATGAAAAATGTCAGGAATGTTATGATAATATCCTCAAAAATTGTTGTTGATTTTGAAAAAGTTTTTTTCCCACAGTATTTTAAAGACTTTTCCGTCTTGAATTAGCAATCTAAAGTTAAGCTACTTTGAGCTTCATGATTTCAATTAGTTACAGAAAGCTAGTCTACAACTTATTTCTGAGCGCAATTAAATAAGTTAAAATAAGAAGACAATCAATCGATAAAACTAACCATCATCACTGCACCCGAAATTTGACTCTATTTTACCAAAGCGACACTTTAATCGTATGACGTTCGTTTCACATATCATCTCAATTTCCTCATTGTGATGAAGTTCTGTCTTATTGGAGCTGTACCTGTTGCCTTTACCTGTTTCCAGTTTGCAATGCTCTGCAAAAAAAAAACAAATCTATCGAAATATTTACTGCTTTCTCTTTTTACTAAATTAATCTAACTTTACTAACCAGTTATCAAACTACACAGGAATAAAAGTAAAAGCCATACTTGGTCTGCAGCGTCCGATTTGCTGAATGAAAACTCCGTGATTGCATTCAAATTTATCATTTCCATGCAATTCATAACCACGTAAGCAAACCATCCTCGCTCCACCGCCATGCTGCACAACATCACCCGATTGCAAGATTCGCTCCGATCGTATATCAACGAAGAAAACGTGATTACGTATCGGTATCCGACAATCATCTACAAATTTGGAAACTTTTCCTGTCAACTTTCCATTACTATTCTCATAAAGTACCAGTAATGAAGTTAATTTATACGCTTGAAAAATATCTGAAAGAAATATAATACTTATCAGGAATGCAATCAGGAATTTCTGGCGTCCATCGTCCATTTTTACAAAATATAATTCCATCCGCCTGCGCATTTTCGAAATGAAAACCCTCGGAACATATTACCTAAACGGTATACGATAACTCAATACAAAATTAATCGAAACCTCGTCGATTTCAATTTATCCTATTCATGCATGTAAAAAAAAATGTTTTTGTATAATTTGTAATCGAAATCAACAGTCATCTCATTCCGAATAAAAATTTCCGAATTTTTTCACAATTGGAATGAATTGAAATAATATATGAGACGCAATAGAATATCAAAACTACGCTAAAATGAAAGAAAGTGTCGGAAGACGAAACGAACCATAATTTCAGTTGGATTGTCATTACCTTTCGTAACAACAATTTTCCGCTTGTAATTAACCAAAATCGATTCACATTCAACAGAACGCCGACGTCGCATCCAAGCAATCTGTCCTTCCACCATCGGATGAGTTTGTGACACACATTTCGGCTTTTTCCGCGGCATCCAATTCCCATTCACACATGTTGCCTACAAAGAACTCTTAGATGTCAATAAATTGAAGTAAAAATTAACAAACTTTAACTTTGATTTCAAGAAATCAAATCTTCACAAATTCCATCTGTTTCAATTTTATAATAGACATGATAAAAAAAAAGCACTGACATATGGATGCTATGACGGTAGTAAAAAAAATTAGCTTTATCAAGATAGATAAAAAAATTACTTTTGGTGATCCGAGCAACACAAATCCTTTTTTACATTGAAATGAAATCGAACGACCTTCTTCCACTTCCGATATATATTGCGCATAGTCATAAGCTCCCATCTGTCCTTCTAGCATTATCTGTCCACTTTCCAAAACTCCAAACGTTTTAAGCGGATGTTCACAAAGAACTTAAACGACACATACAAATTATATGACAGAAAATAAATCAATTTATTTATCTCACATAATGGCGCTCTTTTGTTTTAGAGCAAATAGGTATGATCAAAGTATTATGGGCTTGAAAATTATTGTGTTGAAAGCAGCAGAATATAAATTAGTATTATGAATATTTCAATTGCTGAATTTCACAGACAAAATCTCTAATTTTCATCAGTAATGTTTAACAGTTTGATTTTTCCAGTAAAATTAATTGAAGTTATAAAAAGCTGTAATCTAAATCGATTAAACCAAACTGTTGCAATGGAAAAAATTGCAGCAGTTCAGTTTATGAGGCTTAATTAATCTTTTCCACAAGCTTTGAGCAAACGAATGCTACCTGGTCGACAAGAAAATGGTTCGCCTTCAGTGGACCACTTTCCATACAAACATTTCACAGTATTATGTACGGTTGATGGACGATAACCTTCATTGCATTCATATCGCGCAAATGCTCCATGCGACGACTTTGTGAATACAACTTTGGCATTTGGCATTCTTGGTGGCCAGGATTTGCATCGAACTTGAACAGAAGCTTTTGCAAAAATTATAATTTCAAATTAACTTTATAAATTCCCTATTATCTGTTGACATATTTATATCAAAGTATATTATATATACTATGATATTAAAAAAATAAAAAATGAAAAATATGTCAAAAATTGCTTAAAGTCTAAAATCACGTAGTTGTGATAACGCGTTTCCTAGGGAAAAAAAGATAGTGAAAATAAGGATGATAACTTTCTTTAGCAAATAAATGAAAAACCTGGTATGCAAGTTGGCATATGTGACCAAGTACCATTTCGACATACTATAGTCGCTTCTGCCTCAGCTATTTCATGTTTTGGTGCACATTCCACTTTCAATCTTTCTCCATGTAAAGCAAGTTGTGAGGGCATATGATTAACAACATGTCCATCGCTTATTTCAGGTATTTTACATCCACCTAAATTTTGAAAAATAATGATCATAGCTTTCAAATAAGAAAAATAATTGCTCAGCTAAGCTCATACAATTTTTTATGATTGGAAAGTTTGATTATGATAAAACATTATGCAAATATTGCACTGCTACCATTTACAAAATGTTGCATTGATTGATAACACAGTTTAACATTCAAATTATGAAAAAGTATTAAAGACAGAATAAATTATCGCCTTTCCCAAATTATAATACATAAAATGAGAATGAGAAATGAAATATACTATTTAAAATTAATTAATTCAAAAATTATTGATTATATTTTTAAAAAAAAGCACTTAAACAAATAGGCATTGGATGTGACCATCGTGCATCATTTTCACATTTTGCATATGGTGCACCAATATGATTCATTCCTTCTAAACAACGAAACACAACAACTGCTCCGAAATGTGTGTCATCACCTTCGATGTATCCATTGTGTAGTTGGGGTAACGATGGACAACGAATTTCTCAAATAAATTTTATGATTCAATCTAAGTTTTATCAATATATTCATTCATTTAGTTCTTTTCAGATCTTTATGGAAAGTTAAAATACCTCCTCTTAAGTGTCTATTTTCATTGCTTAGTACTTTTAAAGTTAGAAAAAAACCTTTTAACTGACCTTCACAAGTTGGTTCATTACCAGCCCAAACACCTTCAGCAAGACATATCCTCTGCACCTGGCCAACAAGTCGATAGCCTGATTTGCATGAATAGGTGACACGAGACTGATAAGTCAATGAACTACCAAGTACTTTGCCATGTAATGGATCCGATGGTCTCTTACATTCTGTTGCTGAATAAATTTCATTACAGGTCCTTGTATAAAAAGAAATCAACTGCAAATTCAAAAACTTACGTTTGCAGTGAGGTAATTGAGCACTCCATTGCCCGTTGCTCATACAACGAAGCATTGATGATCCAATAAGCTGATAACCGGGAAGACATACTATTTCAACTGTATGTGGATAATAATACAATTCACCTTTCCGCATTCCGTTCATAATATTTCCCGGATCGGGACAGCTACGAGCTACATAATATACAGGATAATAAAGTTAACATATAAAGTATTGCCGGCTATCTAAGCTAAATCTTACAAGAAAAAAAAATTCCACAATAATACTATAAGAATTAAAATACGATGGTTTAAAATCTTAAAAGTAAAACCATTTAAAAGAATAGAATATATACCTCGACATCGTATGTCTGGACCAAACCATTGTGCTGCCTTTTCTCGATTCAACAAACATTTTGCTATCGTTATTCCTTTGTTATTATAACGATGATAACCGGGTACGCAATTGTAGTGCACTTCGGTTTCCAATTCATACTGACCGCTATACGAATTGCCGTCATGTTGCGCATACGGTATTTCTGGCGGTGGACCGCACTTTTCTACAATTTTACTTTCTTTAAAAATCTTCTATCTTAATCATTTTTTGCATTTTTATCATTCTTTAAATCATTGTTCCACAATTTCATGTCTAATGCTAACAAAAAATCCATCATTATTAACTAATCGAGGAAACAAATAAAAAGCAAAAAACTTTCCATTATTAAATTAATTAATTAATCAACAACAACAATAATACTATCAATCGATTAGTCAATCTAATATAAAAGGATATATTAATTACTTAGTAATCTGCATTCAGGTTTAGTACCACTCCATTCACGATTTGCTTGACAACGTCGCTGTGATGGACCAACTAATACATATCCCTCATTACAACCATATTCGGCATTTGAACCGAATAAAAAATCGCCAGGTGTTCTGATGAAACCGTTCGGTAGATCAACTAATGGATGACAGGTTGTTGCTAAAACTTTTCACACTTCAATCTTTAGAAAAAAAACACATTGTTGTTCATATAAAATAACATTTTGAATAAACTAACACAGGATGAAATATCAGTTAATTAACGCAAAAATATTTAACTTTCACAAAACATGACGATTCACTTGACAGCATTAAAAATGTCACGTAATGAGTGCATTGAAATTAAATAAAGGAATGGAAATTGTTAATGTAAAATGAAAACTTACATGGATTAACGCATGACAAACCACAGGGACCGTCGCAAAGACATCTTTTATTATTTTTCTTGCATTGTTCATCTCTTGCACACGCTTTCTTGCAGTAATTGGGGCGACTGGAAGCACTTACATCAGGACATATTGTTGTCGGAGTGCAGTAAATCGAATTCATTAATGGAAATAGTAAAAATAATATTAATAGTAATGATGAAGTAAGCATTGAAAAGATGATAAGAGATCATGAAATAACTCCTGAAAGAAAATCAATTATAATAAAAAATGATAAATTATTATTTTAAACTAACAATTCTTTTTAGTATCGGAAAAGTAATCAATGGCAAGAACAGAAATTTATTTGACATTGTAGTTGAAGATGAATAATCATCGGTTTATATTATGAGTGAAGAAAGGAAGGAGAGAAGAAATGATATATTTAGAAAGATTAGAGAACTATTTATAAAGCGATCAATTCAGTTAATTTGCTAACTGATTGTTGTGGGGAGAAATTGTCCGCTTGTTATCTGATACTTATGACAAATTTTCAAAATGATTATTTGATTTTAGACAAATATGAAACTGAGCAAAAAGCTCGTATCAATGGAGCTTCTTCTTTATAGCTATAAAATGAGAAAAATATTTTCTTATACATACTACTTATCATTATTATTTATATTTTACACCATTTTTTATTCTTAGTCAGGAAAACCAATTGAGCAGTTTTAAAATTCAGGAAAAAGTTAAATAATAATTAGGTATTTCTAAATATCACTGAATATGATTGTCCTGATTTCTCAGGCTTACGATAGCATCTAACAAATAGGTATTTTACTATTCAAATGAGCCTTAAGTCATTAGATAAGTTAGATGCTATGTTACAAATCCTATAATAGATTAGCCTTAAGCCGATGCCATGCCATAAATGTCACAAGTCAATATCCTATAATCGAATATCGATCGATTTACTAGAAGCTTTTGAGGTGAAATTTTAAAGCATTAATGCAAATCTTAATTTTCATCAAGTTTGATGAACATTTTTGCAACTGATTCATAGATAATCACTGATAGGCAATAATATGATGCCATCAGTGAGAGAAATAAATTTAATACAAAATAAACATATCAGGTCTCAAAAAATTAATTTAATTAATAAGAAATTCTCAATTAGTATGTAAAGGTGTTCAATGGCTTCGTATTATTTAGCACCTGAGGCAATGCAGCAGAAAAAAATATGAAACTTTTAGTGGTTTCTTGAAAGACTATTGTAAAATGAACTGTTAACCGGAACCACCTGACCTGTAATGATATTTTCTATTAAAGGATATTTATTCATTATTTCGTACGCATTCATACAATATTGGATTTATTACATTTAAAAAGTTTTTGTTGAAATTTCTTGTAATTTACAAAATTTCTGCACTTGCCAAAAAAAGCTTTTAAAATTAAATCTATCACATCCTTCTTTTGAATATTAGCTCAAAATATTAGGAAAACCGATTAACTGAAGGGATTTTTAGGAATAAGCAATTTGAAGATACATGTTGGGAGCGCATAATTTGATAAAATTTTTATCGATTTTAGTAACGCGCAAATGCGGTTATGAAATATTTTGATCCACGAAATAACACAACGTATTCTCAGGTATGTTTATACAACAAAACCTAAAAGCCATTATTACTTTTGAAAATTAAACCGATCATATTTAATTTTAATAACAAACATTTAGTATATTTAACAAAGAGAAGAGGTTAATGGAAGGAAGAACTGAAAGGAAAGTAAACAACGGAGATTGTTAAGATAAGCGATCGATGTGCAGCCGCTTATCATCCATAATGTTCAAATTGTATTTCGTGTTGAGCTGCTGGCACATCTCCCTTAGTTTGAAAATGTAATTAAACTTTTTCATGGCAGTTAATGTTAATAATATCATTTTTAGGCTTTTTAGAATAAATTTTATTTAAAAAAAAAATGCCATTAATACTGGCATATTTCAATATATCGAAGTAGCTAGAATTTTTTTTAGGAATTCGAAATTTTTCTGTTAATTTAAAATCTTTCAAGTAAATTCTAATATAAAATAGAATAATGGGGATTTTTTTAAGAATTCGAGATTTCTCTGCTAATTTAAATTTTTTCAAGTAAATTTTAATAAAAAAGGATAGAAACTATTCGGAACTAATAGCTTCAGACGGCAAACCATGTAATTAAGTTATAAGATGTAAAGCTAATACAGAATATCTGAAAAAGTATTTTATCCGTTGAAAATGTTTTGATAGAAATCGCCCAGAATACATACTATTCGGAAATGCCACACTGCGCATTCAAATATTTATTCACTTTTAAAATATGAACTGCTAATTAACATGTCTTTGAAAATTAGATGAAGCATTTTAGAAATGGCTACAAACTTGAATTGGATGTATTACTTCAGTGTGAAGGAGATGAGAAGACTATTTGTGCTTCTGAAAGCTTTTCTTTCAGTTTCTTGAGAGATTTAGATTCTGAGATTGGAATGAAGAAGTTATGGAAATGCGAAAAGAATCAGATCAAATGACGACTTGAAATCTGCGCACTTTAATTAATAATTAATGTGACTATACTGTCACAAAGTTGCTTATTACTTTCATGAAAGTTAAATTTACTATTCCAAATGATAAGCTAATGGAAAGTAGATAAGGCTAGAAAAGAAAATTTTGTTGCTTAAGCTTAAGCATTGGTAGATAAGGCTAGAAAAGAAAATTTTGTTGCTTAAGCTTAAGCATTGGATATATCTCCATCATATTAGTCTTATTTCTCTGATAAGAAGTTCATACTGAAACTGAATTTTAAAATTCAGTTTAAAAGCATCAATTGTTATTATGTTTTAAATTAAATAAAGCGCAAAATGTATGTTGATCAAAAACACTCAATCCAAATTTGACATGATATGATTTCACGAGACTTCTACTATGCAAATTTTTACCATAATTGAGTTTGAAAATATTCAGCATAGGTATATGTTACAGGAAGTCACAACAAACTCCTCACATTTTGCAATTATTCCGAGAGATATCATTTCTATCTGAATTGTAAATGGAAAATACCTTCAGTATATCATGTGCCATATTATAACCGTAAATATTAAATTTGCTTATCATGACATACAAGCTTATGAAAATAGGTTAGTGGAAGTAAAAAAATAAGCTGATAACGCAATTAGCATTGACGTAAAAAAGTGGCGGAGGAGTTATTATTTCAACACGAGAAAACTGCTTTAGTTGTAATTGGGGAAAGTAAGCCATTACCAAACTACGATAATGTGATTTCCATAAGTATTCATCACTATCATATCATTGAGCAGTTATTTACATGTATGAATATGAAGAAAGGTTGAGTGTAACAGACTGTTGGATAAATAAGTTTCTATCATCTTTGTCCAATAATAATATCCAATGAAAAAATTTCATTTCATCCATTATTTAGTCAGTCAATTGCTGAAAGTGATAGTTCAAAGTTCACGTGGTCCACGTAAATATGTCGTGGACGGTAGGAATAATCGAAATAATCCTCAGAGATTATTACATTCTTATTGTGAAAGTGAAAAATAAATGACACTTTCGGGATAATTAAGAAATAAAAAAGAAGAGTGCATGTGTTCTTTTTTAATTCATTTTGCAGAAATATTTTGCATAAAATTCTTCGAAATAACAATTGACATGAAATTGATCAAGAATGTGTGATAAATGATCTATGCTAGTGATAAGTGTAATCACGAAAAGCATTCATCTTTTCAATCAATGAATTAATTAATTATCAGATTAGATTTTTTTTTGATTCACATAGAAATTTTTTTTCGTCGCATTTTACACTTCATTTTCCATTTATTATCATATTTTGTTATAATTTCTTCTAACATTACATAATTTTTTCTTTTCCATCTGAAAAAAAAATTTACAAATGTTTTCAATGGAACAATTTCATACATTTTAAGAAGATGTTAAGAAACAAAATAATCAAACTTCTGTTTAAATTACAAAAGGAACACATCGTTCCAAACTTGATTCAACAAGTCATTCTCACTCAGTATCTCCCCGAACAGTCTCATTCATTTGTCAAATTTCATCTTTTCCCATCTTTCGTTCTCCCTTGTGCTTTCCATGTATTATTGATTTGATCATATTCTTTGAATAAGAACGGTTTCACAGCGAAATCTCACCATTAGTCGTTTGAAATTAGCGCGGATGCATTGATTGGTGCGTGGGAGTGCTGTTGAAATAGGTCAAATGGGTTGTGCGAGAATTGTTAGAAAGTGGATTTACCTCATTCATCTGTTATTATTGGCTTTTCTTCTGAATGTTTCAGCGAATGAATGTTCACAGTACGTTTTATCAGTAGGGGTTATTGCACGAAGACGAAATTCCTTCAACTTCATCTCCTCACCTCCAATTGTTGTCCTCTCTGTGATCATTTCAAAGAACAGCTGGACAATTATATCGTTCATCGTCAAAAAGCACTAACTCATCTTCTTCAAGTGAAAATTGTCAACATCAACAATAACACAAATTTTGAGGTCTGTACGCAATTTACCATCTGTTCCTCGTATATCATCCTTTCATATTCACCTCTCTTCATCTTTCCGTATTCTTTATTTGCAACTATCAGCACATGATATCAGCTAATTAGATAGTCTGAGATGTTAGGCAAATATTGGTGGTGAATTGAACATTTAACATAAGGAAGGCTATTTTAAAAACATTAATTAATTACACCGTCCTTTAGCTACTTGATGTGAATCAAGTGTAATTAATTATGCAAGTCATGTAAATTAGGCATTTAGGTCATAATTTCTTTGCATTCATCTTTATTCCGTTGTTGTTGTTTATGCCCATTGCACCCCGTTTATGCCTGTTCTTTTCCTCACACACTTTCCTATTAATTTATATAATATGCAATACTACTTCAGGTTTTTATGGAATAAATTATTGCAGAAATACAAGTACGATGTACCAGTGCTTATGTTCAATGATGAAATCCTATTGAAGCATCGATTTAGCAGGGAAAAATTCGAAAAAGCTCTGGCCAACATACTGCAGTAAAAGCAGATGTGTGCATTTGTGGCTGCACATGCTGGTGTTGGAACGCATTCACATAAGACGGAAAATGTTTGCTTAAAAGCAGTATGCAAATCGAAAGGAGACATTGTTGAAGCAGTTAAGGTTTGCATCTTTGCATTTAGTCTAGTTTGAATTATTTTTGAAAACGTCTTTCATTGCTCAAATAATAATCTGGGGGAGATTGATCTGGGACATATAATTGATCGTTGATTTTAATTAGTTTAATGATTTCACGTGCAAATTTTATTTTTCAGGAACTTGAAAACGACTTTAGGACAAACTGTGGTTTTGGTTCAAACTTGACATTTGATGGACATGTGGAATGCGAAGCAGCTTTTGCATCTTCCAAAGGTAAAATTTATATAAAATGCATAACTTTGAAATCTTTTCAAGTTGACTCAAAACGAGCTGGGAAACATTAAATTTAAATTTTTTATATCACTCCAATCAGACTTTTGTAAAGAGTTAATTATATTGCTCAATACTTGAGTAAGAAATATTAGAAAATCAAATATTGTGAATGCAAATTTCCTTAATGCACTCCTCTTCAGATCATGTATTTGGTGCAGTTGGAGTGGTATCTCGGCTGCGGAATCCTATTGAGGTTGCTGCAATGATTGCCAAAGGTTAAATTTTCTTTTAAACAGTTTTATTGAAGTAGAATAAAGAAATCTGCTCTTTTTGCGTAATATATGTTATAGTCACTTATTTTGCGATTTAGCTGCGGGGTTCAGTGGAATTTTCGTTGGAAAGCTTTTGTGACTTGCTTTCAGAACCATCATTGCAGAACAGTTGTGCGGCGACAAGAAATTTGTGCTGCCGACTGTTTTGGTGGGCCGAGGTGCTGAAGACTGGGCTCAAAAGCGTGGGATTGAACTTTGTGATCCAAAATCATTAGTATCAAAAAGATCACAACAACAGTGGCGAGAAGCTCGAGAAATTGTGAAAAGCTGGGAAAAGGAGACGATGGATACTGTAGGCGCTGTATCGGTAATAGCTAGAAGTTCCTTATGATTTGGATAGATCGAAAATTTCCAATTATAATTTTATAGTTTGCTGTCAGTTGCTGTCATATTTCATTTGTTCAGTATGAAAATGGTGGTTGTAATGCGGCATGTTCAAGTGGTGGAATGATACTGAAAACCGAAGGACGATTAGGCCATACAATTCAAATTGGTGGCGCTATTTGGGCTGATCAAAGAGACTCCAAGAGCGTTGCAGTTGCACTTTCTGGCTGTGGTGAATATATCAGTCAAACACTTTTGGCAAAGACTCTTGCTGAAACTTTACTCAGTTGGTAAACATTTTCTTTTGACAAAGACTGTATTCCAGTGTCTATATCTTATTATTTTAAAATATCAAATTGTGCTTCGCTTTCTTGTATTAAAGCATGTAGTTTAGAAGACATATATTGTTCTACAGCTGAAAATTTCAGCATTAACAAACTATTCATCAGTTGTTCATATTAAATTTTTTAAAATTGTTTTTAGGAACTGTGATGAAGATGTGATTCTGGATAAAATCAAACATGTTTTCAATGCTTCATTTTTACATTCTCCTTGTTTACAAACTCGAAATAAAAGGCACATTCTTGCTGGTGGGTTGGTGCTGTTTGTTGACAAAGGTATGTGAATGATTCAAATATTATGAGGAAATGGACTTAGTTTGTTATATACCTCTTAAATCTTATCGTTGATGGTGTGGAAAGTGTAATTTTAATACTTCTAAAGAATTTTCTTATCTTAGTACTAATAACATTAGTGCGCATCAAAAAGAATTCAGAAGAATATGCTATTCCTGATTACGCTTGCTAAACGAACCTGTGTAAAGTTCTGTTGTGCTGTATATTTTACATGAACAGTAATAATGCTAAATGTCCAAAGCATTTTCTGACTTATTTATTCTTAAACATAGCCAATGTTATAAATGGAGTTTTTCGTGACAATCTAATTTGACTTGAGATTTTCTTTTTTTGATGCTATCTTCAACATTGAATTTGATCTTTGCATCTTCACAGTGGATCGTAGAGTAAGGCTAGTTCAATTTCATTCGAATAACGAAATGCCTTCAAAGAACGATTGAGGAGGAAGATATTGTATTTCATTTCAGAAAGTGGATGCGCAGAACTTGTTTCATTTCATAATACAACGGAATTGACTTTTGCGTTTTTTGGAAATGGAACTGGGATGAAGTATCGCTCTCGTTCGGTTTCTGATGATTTTATCGCACATTCTTTTTCTTTGAGAGATTACATTAATCTTTGCTGATCTTTTTGTTGAATTTTAAGTGGTTATTGAGATAGTTCCTTTACTATGATTATTTTGTTGTATTTCAAAACTATTGACTTGAAATAAAATATTCAATTTTGTCATTATATCTGTTTTCTTCAACAGTTTTTTAGTGCTTTGGACCTACCTGATAGCTAACAGCAGTATCAGCTCGTATTGGAAGTTCATATAGTATAGTTTGGGACACTTAATAACTGAGTTTTACGGTGTCCCGATGATTAGTTTCATTTGAGCAATATGTGCATATGTGGCCGGAAGCTGTGATAATACTATGCATAGTGAAGAGATTATGCTAGGCTCACTATTTGTTTTCGGTTTAGATTAAAAAGGTTAAATAAATTATTTCTGCACGACGGGTTTTCTGCGATATTGATACGTTTCCTGCTTGCTTTCTCGACAGATTTGACTCAATCTTTTTAAGAAAATGCACGGCTCAATAAAGAAGTTTGTAATTCCTTCTCGAGATGATGACTTGTTGGAAGAAAGCGACGATTTTTACACGATAAGTGTACGTCCGCAATTGGACGAGATCATATCAAAAGTGTTTCGTAAGATTTTTTAAAATATTATTTCGTGAAGATGGAATCTGTTTTTTGACATCCTGAGAAATAAAGTGAGTATTTTCTGGTAACGATCGGATAACTAACAATGGAGCGTATTCCTGAGTTGGAAAAACATTCTATTCATCCAAAGAAATAATAATTGGAAGATAAGACAGTTGTGACTTTATCATACTCTACTCATTTTGACCTTAGCATTGATCACATGTGGCGTTTTTGCAGAATTTCGTCATGATATAGATGCCGGCAGGTGGTCGCGAATCATCGATAGATTCGATCACTTATTTTTTACTATAAAGTAGGTTATCATTTATAATATGAATATTGTTGTTTTGACAATTGTTCAAACACTTCATTAAGTTCCATGAAACTACGAGATCATTTATGAAGAAGTCCTCAGGTTTCAGTGGACTGGATATCGGAGTTTTGATTTTCATTTCTTTTCATGCTTTTTTCCGTTCTTTACTGATAGAAAAACCACTGATGTTTTCTTGACATTAATTTTTTTTTGTTAATTTATCACCCTGTATGTCATGTTTCTTCACGGATTGTTTTCAGACCGTTTTCCGAGGGTGAACCGTGGCGTCTTCGTGCTCAGCTAATCTCGGTTTTAAATACCGGTATATTTTAATTACTCGGCCGCAGATCGTCTTTTATTATTCAATGAAATCTTTAAATTCTTTGTTACAGGCCTAAAGCTGACATTGGACAGCATTGAAGAATTGTTACCAATGCTTACAAGTGAGGCAGAAGCCGAGTTAGCACAAGATCTATTTACTGAAAGAGAAATGCACGCACGTGCATTTTTGATGTATGTATATTTGTTGTGCCGACTTGCTGTTCTTTTTGAAAAAAAATCATCCAATCGGTTTGTGTTTTTTCCATTTGGAAGTAGTCTTATTTTAGGCATGAATTTTCTCTTGGATTTGTAGGGGTTATATTTTTTGTATTTAGAAGTCATTGTTATAGTTATCGTGAAAAAACTGGAATGTCACTAACATATTTCACTGTCCGTTTTTCAGAATCACTCCACATTGTATTCTCTACCTCGTAGTTTAAATGAAGTAATTCACTGTTCAGTTTTTTAAATTAAAGTTTCGGATTAAGTAATCCGAAGTCTTGATAACACAAAATTATGTTTGCATTTTTTCTAATTAATTTCAGGCAGTCAGAAGCATCGAACACCAAGAAAGGCCGCAAAACAGTGCCAGATAAGACAGACGATCAGTATATGATCCAATGGACGTACGATCGAGGCAATACTTTGAAATTGTTACGCCGTGCATTTTCAATGAATAGTATTGATGCTCAGGGACGACGGCGTAATACGGCTATTCGCTTTCTTTGGCAACCGTCTATAGTGCCGCTGGAACTGTTAAAGTAATCAGGAAATTTATAATTTATTATTGCTTCTGTACTTTGAGGTGATGAAAAGTAAATCGGTTATAATATAGTTTATATTAAAGTTTTTTAAAAAAGGACCTAGTGATTTGAGTGATATCAAAGAATGTATTTTTGAATTTGAATATGTTGGAGTATTGTAGGATTTTGAATTATTTATTGATTTCTTTTGAGTTTTTAAATGACGATTCCAGAACTTTGCAATTTTTTAAGGATTTCGAAAGATCTGGCTTACAAATTTCTTGAAAATCCGGAACTCAGTAAGGTTAGCGGACGTGACTGGTTACAGACAATATTTGGCTACCTCAAAGTTATTTGTATTGACTACAGCGAAGTTGCTAGTGAATATTTCCGTTTTTTCTCTTCAGTTAAAACGATTTCTCAAATTCTGTTTTTCAAAAATTGGGAAAAAATATTTATGGCCAAGTTTATTAACTAGAACGCTGTACCACTCTTGTAATGATGGAAGCCTAAGATAATTGAACTGTCTCGTAAATGCAGTTTCAGTTCATCGCTTTTTCTTACAGAAGTTGGTGCTAAATTGGTGAATTTGATGAAGCGTCTTGATTATTTATCGCTTTCTTCGTTAACGCAGTCACCTTTTGTTGATGCAATCGAATCTGTTTCTTATTATGACGATATGGACACTCTGTTCCAGTCAATGCTTTCAGCACTTAGTAAGTTGAGTTCGAATTTATGTTTTTCTTTAACAACCTCTGTATTTCAAAAAATATTTGGTGCTTGCATTATTTTGTATTAACTGTGATATATAAATATTTCTAAAAAATTGCATATATCTTCTAGATTTTTTAAAAAATATACTGGAAATTCAGCATATTTTCTAAGTCAGATTAGCACTGGTCATGGTAATGTAATCACTTAGCTAGTCCCTGAATTTTACCAACCTCTGGATTTTGATATGTCGAACGTTTTTGTCATTCTTATTTTTGAAATATACAATTTAGGTCGCTTATCAAAAAGTGATTTTGCTCGTAATGATGTATCAGCTCGACCGTTTTCTTTGTTTATTGTTTCACTAGCCGAGAAGAAGCCGTATTTGTTGAATAAACATATCGTCAATATTGCTCCATTTCTATCAGATGATGTATCTCCTGATTTTTATCTTGTTTTTAATATTGCTTTTAACAAAATTGAATACCTTATTTTTAATAAATTTTCAAATTTTCTATAAAACACTGTACTTTTTTAGCCAGCCACTCTTCGCTGTGCTGTTCTGACTGCTTTTGTCGAAATCGTTATGGTTGTATATAAGGGAAATTTACCAGAAGGTAATTTTCGAAGATCACGTGATCGGCTTCTTCTTCATTTACAGGTTTAACATTTTGCCTAAAATATCTTCAATACATAGTAAAATAAGAAGACTTTCTTATTTCATATTATATTATTCATATTGATTCAAATCAATTGAAGGATCATACGGTTGACGTAAATGCAGTGGTACGTTCTCGTGCGTTGCAACTATGGACACGTTTAGCTCGTGCCTCACAAATACCGATAGTTTTTATAAGTGGTGGTCTCATTCGCGATGCCGGTGGCCGTTTAATAGACAAGTCAGTGTCGGTTCGGCGGAGTGCTGCTACATTTCTAAGTGCTATTTTGGAATACAATCCATTTGGAGCTTCTGTAAGTTACTATTTATATTCTCTCGACGGAAGAATTAATAATCTTAGCAACTACTGCTGCAGTAAATTCGTGAGTTATTTTACTGCCTTAGAAGTAGTTAAAATTTGCTTTAAGTGCAGTGCATAAAAATTTTCATTTTACGTTTTAAATATAGTGTAAAAATGTAATTTTTTTTGAAACTATTTTTTCAGTTGAATGCTGATGATTTGGCGAATGCCATCAGTCGTCTTGAGGCAGAACGATTTGAGCTGAAGAATACCAATCCAGGTAAGAAAAATTGAAAACTTACGAAAGGTTATTACTTTCTTTATCCATCTGAAAATTTTGAAAGGAAATGCAAACTAGAACAGAAATCCAGTTGATCCGTGAATTTATTAATTAATAAATTAAGTGAAAATATGGAGTTTTTCGAGTTTGTAGGAATTACGGTATATTTTTTGTTGATCAATGACTCTCATAAGACATTTACTTGACATTCACTACACGAAATAAATTTGCAGTCATTTCCACAGTCTTCCCTATTTTATTTATCATTTTTTCGGCGCTTAGATAGTCCGAACTATTTAAATTTTTTCTAAACGGGAATTATGTATTCTTGTTGCAGAAAAGGAAGGAATCAGAAAAGCCTGCGTTGAGTGGGCATCTATGAAAGAAAATTTGATCCAGTGGATTACTAAAGCGGTCAAACAAAGATTAAGCAAACGGAATGCAGATGCTAGTGAAGAAGAAAGCGTAGACAGCACTGTTGATCAAAATGGAAATGAAAATGCTGGTAATTTTTACATAATTCTGATTGCATATCTAAATTTTTTATTTCGCATAGTTTAACAAATTACTGCTAAATAATAAGAAGTTTTATAGGAGATACAGAGAATATTTATGCTGGGGTCAGTGAAACAAATAGCACCGGTGCGAACACGGTTGACGAGTGCATCATTGATGATGATGTCACGCTTGAAGAGTATTTGTTACTTTTATATCCATGAGCTCTAGATTTTCATAACCTATCATGATAAACAATCTCTGCTCAAACAATCTAAAGAAAGCAGATACAATTATCTGTTACTTTTTTGATTTTTTTCAGACTGATAACTAAAATTGTGCATGCTCTTGAAAATCGTGGAACATGCCGTGCGGCTGTCGAAGTGCTTGTTCGAGCAGCTCTCGATGGCAGATTTCCCACTGTTAATAGGCTTGTGGTTTCCTGTTTTTGTTCAGAGTTGTAATAATCATTAAATCAGTAGGATTAGGAAAATTTCTGAATAGATAACTTCCTACGACAGTTCATACATCAATCAATCAATAATATTTCTCTCTGTAGTTGGAAATTGCTTTATTTTACATAGACTTTAGGAATGGGTCAGCCGATGAAATCATTCGGGAATGTTATGAATCATTGCAAGTGTATTATTTTGGTATGGTTTTTGGACACTATAAAATTTTCATTTGAACTGTTTCCTAAATAATGCCGCTTCTTTGCTACTACTTATTGATTTTAACTTATTGCTTAGATGAACATAAAAAGATGCAGTTAGCTGATGATGAAGAGATGCTGGAGCTGGAAGATCGCATTGGAGACTACCAAAAAACGATGGAGGAACTAAATAATAAAATCAAACTACATGAGGTGAGTATGAATGATTTTTTCACATTCGGAAATAAGGTGTGCTTAAAAATGCTTTAATATTAGTAGAGTTAAAGTGACTGATCGAAAATAAGAAAATCACACACATATTTTTAGCATACTTATTCAAATGATATCCTATTTTTAGAATGCTATAATGTTTTCACTGGAAATTGAGAATTGCATGAAACTAGCCTTACGATCGGTAATGTATGGACAAGCTAATGAATTGACTGAAATTATTCATTTTATTGTGGAAGCTAATAAGTTTGGAATTCGTGGCTCGGAAAAAAGTGTTCGTGAATTGTTCAAGGTGGTTTGGAGACGAGACAATGCGATTAAAGAAATTATCACAAATGCTGCCCGAGATCTATTCATCTCTGCGAATAAGTTTGTTCCCATGCTTCCCAATTGTATATGCTTTGGAAATGGGAAAAATTTCTTATTTTGAAAGAATCTGCTATTTTTTAGTGCCATAATCTACTGTTCAGTTATTTTGAATGAAGTGTTCACTTGAAATTTATGACACTGAAAAGAAATGCAATGCAGAAGCAAAGTAAAGAAAGATATATTTCGAAATCTTGTCTTTATTGCTTTTTAAAAAAAAATCGCTTAATATGTATGGATGAAAAATTGTATAATTCAGGTAATTCAGGTCAAGTGTGATCAGTTACATAGGAATGCAGCTGATTGCATTTGGCCTCCTGCTAATTACATTTTAATATCAGCCAGAAATGGGACCTTTTAAGAAGTATTTCTTGTTCAACTTCGTCTAGAAATATTTTCATACAGAGATCGCGATGTGAGTGCACGGAAAAGTGCGGAAAATCTCATCAAAATAGTTCTTGGTATCGGTGAAGAAGAAAGAGTATCCGTTGAGGAGGTGAGATTATTGTAGAGTATTCTTTTTATTGAGTGCTTTGAAAAGCTAATTCATCATTACTGTGGAACTGGAACTTAGTGTTTACTTCTTTTTGATTTTAAAATAATTAAAGTAATTGTATTGTTTGGTTCACCTAGGTGCTTTGCTTGATGGCTCGGGAAAACCGCTGGGATATTGATTTGCTTGACGTGCTCTCCGCAGTAGTCTTTGAAACTCAAGGCGCATCTCGCATTGCAGCTTTGCGTCTCTTCTCTATTATATGCAGGTATTTAGTTGTTGAAATACTCTAATTTGAAAGATTTGGATTGTAATTTTTACCGCTTTTTATTTAAACATTTTAGAGCTAATAAAGAATTTATGCGAGAAAGATTGAATTTTTTTATTGAATTAACGCAACGCGAGGGGTTTTTCGATAATGATGACGGCTCATTAGCAGCTGAATTCTTTAATGCAATCGCAATGTTGGGAAGTACACCGAACATTAAAGACGCTAATACTCTTTATGAACCACCGTTCCGTCTCCCTGAAACGCACCGCATCCTTCAATGTGTTCACGCTGTATTAGTGCAGAGTAAGTCTTTTTCGTTTCCAAAAGGCGAAAATTTTCCGTTTTCTTGCTTGGCCGCTTTTTAGTTTTAAAAATTATGGTAACTAATTTATTGGATTAGAATTAATCAAAATAGATAAATATATTTGCAGTTTGCTAATTCATGATATGAATCTTGCAGATGTGGCAAATACATCATATAATTGGTTAAGTATGATGCAAAAAGCGGTGAACACAATATTTTACGTGGCTGCGAGACCATCTCTTTGTTGTCGACTTATTGCCTGTGGATTAGTGCATGAAGCAAAACGTTCCCTCGCATACTTTTTTCTGAAAAAACGAGAAATTCAACAAATTGAAACAATTAACTTTGAGTTTGTTTCTTTTTTCTGTTTTCTTTAAAGGAACCTTGTCTGTTTGCTTTATTAACTTTTAAAAACATAGTTTCATGTTTAGAAATCCTCCGAACAGTGCGGATGTTGATGAGTTTGAAGATCTACTGGCGATGGGAAAGGAGCGGTTACGAGAGTGTAGTGAAACTGAAGATGAAGAACTAGTCGGATCACAAAATGTTGATCTTGTTGGTGACGAAAATCTATCGAAGATGAAAAAGGATGTATTGGAATTATTGGATAAAGATAAGGAACAGTCTTTTCTAGCTTGGGAAACAGTGGCAGAACGAGTTTGTGCCTTTGCTGGACAGGTTAGTTAGAATTTTAGACGGAGAAAGTTTTTAATGTATTAATGAAATGATTCAGAAATATGAGTGGAAAACAAATAAATGTTATGACAATGTCAACACGATTACACAGTGGTAAAAAAGGATTTTGAGATCGCTTTGAAGACATTAGTCCACACTGATGTGTCATTCGTGGCCGAAATGAAAAGGAAGAATGAAATTTTACACACTATTCGAGCAGCTGTGAATGATATCGATCATAAAAAGTTAGAGAGAGCGAATTGTGTTGAAGAATTTTCAATGAACAGAGTGCTTTCAACATTGGAAGTTGAATCGGTTGAAAGGCATGGATTTTTTGAAGTTAATGAACAAGAAGAAGGCGATCGTTTAGGCTTAACGGGTTTGTGATCTTACCACTCTTAACTCTTACATCGAACAGATAATCTGATGGATACTTTGTCTAAGGGATATTGTCAGAATTACTTTCATGTGGCATATTTCATAGTTAGATATGACATCTTTAACACTGTATTTTGGTCTTAATCAGGAGTAATGTTCCTTTTCTTTCTTAATGTTATGTTCCTATCCTTTCAGGAATATCCGAAGAAGAGCGCATTTTGGAGCGTGCACAACGAATGTGCGAAAATGCTGTGTCCCGTAAAGGATCGTTACTGCATCGTTTAAGTAAATTTTTAGTCGCAGTTGTAAAGTCTAAGAAAAACACATGTTCAGAAAGACTTCGTTCGACTGCAATATTGGCATTATCAAAATTCATGCTTCTGAGGTTTGTTATAAGTATGTTAATGGAGCGCTGTGCTTGTAGTCTTTTTAAATAATTACAATGCTTATACTTAAAGTGCTTATACTTAAAGTTGTCGATTGGATTAAAAAAACTGTTGGAGTATGTTGAATTGGATTTATTATAAAAAATTTTATTGGATTAAAAAAATTCATTTTTATTGCAGTATGAAAACATGTATTCGTTTTATGCCATTATTCTTGGATTATTTCAAAAATTCATCAAGTTCAGAATGCCGTAGCAATTTGATGATTGCAATTGGTGACTTATGTTTTCGTTTTCCAAATGTGATCGAAAAATATAGTGAACATCTCTATCATGGGTTGGCTACTTTATATCTTAAGAAACTTTTTTTCTTATAAGGAGATTTTTTTAATACAATTTTGAAGCATTATTGATATCTAATACAATGGACTAATTCTTTGTCAGTAATATTTATTCAATCTTAGAATAAATGATAAAGACGATTATGTGCGACAGACTTCCATTATTGTACTCTCTTATCTTATATTGAACGATATGGTAAAAGTACGTGGAACAGTTGCCGATCTGGCGCAATGTGTTAATGATGAAAATGTTAACGTCGGACAACTTGCAAAATTTTTCTTTTCGGAACTTGCGAAGAAGGTTTAGTTTGGAAATTATTTTTGTTCTAATCCCTTTTGCTCAAATTACTGTGTAGAATAATTTTATATCCTCTTATTTGACTTAACAAGAGACATCACTTTTGAAATAATGCGCATTATTCTTTAAGTAATAGTGATGGCAAAAGTACTTAGCAGAGTAGCTAGCAACAGAAAAAGTAAAATTCCCATTCATCCTTGTCATTTTTCAAGTAAAGTCTTTAAAAAATTTGAATTTTATCGGCTATGTATGGAAAAAAATAAAATTTGATAAAAAACTAACACAAATGGTTACAGACTTTAAATTGACTCATTTCAGGGAAATGTTCTGTATAATTTGATGCCTGATATGATCTCACGTCTTTCATCTAGCGAATCAATAACTATCGATGATTTTATGAAAATAATGAAGTAAGTTTTTAAAAGCTTTCATTTTAAAGAGTATAGAACAATTTTATAGAATGCTTTATATAAAGCTCATCGATTAAATAACAAATCATCTAGCACATAAAGCACATATTCAATTATTTTCTTATTATACTTATAGAGTTTTTAATCTATTAAATTACTGCCGATTGTTTTAGATTGTTGCTGGCATTTATCAAGAAGGATAAGCAAGCTGATAGTCTACTTGAAAAATTAATACAGCGTATGCAAGGAGTCATTAACAAGTAAGAGAAATAATTTTTTTTCAATGTTTTTAACGTTTTATAGTTTTTAGGTTTCCGTTGTGAAAGGAATTAACTTTAACTTTTTCAGAGATGGGTTATTTGACACACGGTTGGCAGAGTGTTTATCATATTGTATTTCATGCCTTCCATTAAGTGAAAAATCCTTTCGTTTTATGGCTGAATCGTTACCAACTTATTCAAATTTGTTGGCTTTAGAATGTGTTTTTACGAATTTACAGTCGGCTGTTCTTCATTTTAAAAAGTATTCCGTACGGAACACAGAGCTTAAGGTTTGAAAATTACTCTTCCTACTTTTACATTTTCATAAGTTATGTTTTTGAATCTGCTTGTTTTGTTAACTATACTTTTTATTTATTAGTAGGAAAAATCAACTTCTAGGGAGAAGTGGATGATTTTTTGGAGTCACTGACTAATATGCACCATGATAAACAAGAACATGAGGGCATCGTTAATCGAGGATTGATTCATAGAGTAAGCTGATATTTCATTTTAAATCCTTGATTGTGCTTGTGGGGCAATAACCACTGACGATTTTCAATGTATTTTGTATAAAACTTCTATTCAGAATGCTTTCTGTTTTAAACCATAATTTAGGCAGCTTCATGACACAATTTATTCATTTAAAGAAGATATAGTTAATGTTGCACTGTATTACATTAGTTACTGTTTAGGTTTTATCTTTGTTTAACATATGACAAATTGTATACGTTTATGTTCTCATTTATAAATCACATTTTTGTCTCTTTCAAATAAAATAATATCTTTTTTTCAGAAGAAGTGCAAGCCACCACAGAAGGTGAAGAAAGCTCGTTAAAGCTATGTTTATTGTATGCAAATGTAAATATGAATATGAGTGTTAAGTAATTAAAATTGTGTTTGTATAATATAAGTATACGTTACAACGTACAGTTAGTGTGCCTAAAAATTCCTTGCAGATGTGCTTTTATATGTTTTTTTTTCTATATTTTTCTGTTTTTTTTCTCATCTGCTGCCATTATTTGTATTATCATTGAGATACAATGAAGGATTTATTTTCTAAGATGTTGAAAGAAAGCATATTCATACTATTTGAGTTCAAAATAAAAAAAGGAGGTGGACATATAGATGTCGATCTATGAACATTCTGTTATGGAAGTTTATGTATAAAATATATTAGGTTGTTCTAATTATTGAGCTTCCCGGAAAATATTTATAGTTATGAAATTCATTTTAATTATTGCCATTGATAGCCATTTGAAGATATCTGCTATACAGTGTAGTGGTAATGAGAGGTTGTTCTATTGGAGGAAGAAACTGTTATTATTAACTGCAAGTAATGGAAAGGGCAATTATTTTGCTGGAATCTTTCAAAAACGATTATTTCAGCTAAATAGTGTAGTGAAATTTAGGAACAGTCTTTATCTGGAAAACTAATGGGTTTATATTTGTCTATAGTGTTGTAATTTTTTAATTACATTGGACATATTGTACTCTGCATTATCATTACATTCTTGGATAGAGTTGATTGATGGTCACAGAAAAGAAGCACATGAAGTCAATGATGAAAAGTAAATATCATTGATGAAAAAAAAACTTGAATTAACTCTTTTTTACCGTTTCAATTCTAAGAGATAAAGAAGGAGCGGATATGACTTGACTTTACTCAAGAATGGATACAATTTCAATGATGAGTTTAATTTTAAACACTAAGTTTAATATGATCAGTTCCAGGAGATTAGTTACAACGCTTGTAAACGTAATCAAGTAATATCATTGAGGATGAGTAATCAGTTATAAAATGAAGGGATAGTGTAAGGAATGCTGCGTATACATTCTGAAATGTTGTAATATAATCTAGCAGCTGTCATTGCCTTGCTGTTGTTTGTAAAATTTTCATTTTATTGAGATCACTGCTGCTATCTTGAATAGAAGCTTTTGATAGATCCGGATATTGATTAGTGAATAGAGGATGGATGAATCAGTGGGACAACCTTCCGAACAACAGGTATTTATTAATTCATTTATGGATAGAAGAAGTTTTTACTAATACTGATATAAGCAACATTCATTTTGGTACGATCATCAGTCGTTTGCACAACAAAAGAAATTTCGATCAGATAAACAAAATGCATTTACGGCAATTAATAAATTTAATCTCCATTAAACTGGAGATTAAATTTATTATTTAGTTTAATGGAGATTAAATTTAACCTTTCAAAAGTTATTAAGAAATATCGGTATGTAATTAGTAAGAAATCCAATTGGATTTTCTTACTGATTGCTGTATGACTTTAAAATGAGCAAATTTTCTTCCACCTAAAAGATTTAATTTGATAATTTATGAGGAGCTATAAAATCTTCCCAATAAGATATTCGAATTGAAAATTTTTGCTGGAAAATTTTGATTAGTAATTAAAAATAAATGCTTCAGACATCTACAAATGCTTCCTCACCTTCTGCAACTCCAACAGCACTGGATAACAATGATATGGTTAGTTTTGTTTTTTATAATTTCTTTGTAAATTGAATAAAATTAAGTTGAATTAATGATATAACTTAAGTGATATAACTTATCTAGATTATAAAGCAAAAATTATTTAAGTAGCGGTTATTTCGATATTTCCTTATCATTATCATCGGTTATAATCACTCTTCACATTTCACTCCACTTCTTTCATCAAACATTTGCTTTTTTTATTTTTATTTATATGTTCATTCTATCTTCTTTATTTTGATGAATTTTTAATTTAAATCGAAGTGGTCTAAAATTGTTCACATTTTTTAATGTACAGTTATTACTGTCGCTGTTCGATATAGCTAAATAGTAAATATATTTGTCATTCTCCATATTTTCCATTCATTTTCATACCTACATCCTCTCAGTAGTTGAAATTTAGGTTTATGATTAACATGCATTATTGATTGATAAATATTACAGGAAAAAGTAAATTATACCAAACTTGCTTCTTATATTAGCAAAAATGTATTATTTTAAAATGGGTTGGTTGATCAATGAAATGAAATCTTCATGCTATTTTTGTTTTGATATTACTTTTGTAGTGCTTTTTTTTTCGTACAATAACGTAGCTTTATTTTCTTCCTTATTTTGATGAATTTTTTATTTAATATTAGTTATTTTTGTGCATGTAAAATTGAAGATATAGTCTAAAATTGTTCACATTTTTTTAGCAAGTAGCCGAAATAACCGTACAAATTGAATTGAAAGGAAAGGAATCGACCGCAAACAGTTAATTGGAGATTGTTAACAGTTGACGTAGCCACTTCCATCTTCTTTAGTTACTTTTTTCGCGAGCTTTTTTGTTTTTACATTCAAAAGATCATTATGCACACTGCTTTTAGTTCTTTTTTGTTCAGATTTTGCTTATCGAATCCATAAGAGGAATCCTTTACAAAAATTCAAATTTAAAAAGCCAAAACATCAAAATCACAGTAAAACTGAGATCTTAGAAAGTGTAAAATCCAAGGACAGAAATGAGAGTGAAATTGCAATAAAGTCAGAATTATCATTTATATTGTTTCTCGGGTTTCTAAGCACTTATATGCTTATTTACAATTCTGAGTAACCACTTACACTACTAATGTACGCCACCGTTTCAGAAGTTAATACTGTAAAAGTTTTCCTTTTTTTTCTTGCACGTTTACATGTACAAGAGAAAAAAAAAATTATCTTAAAGAAAACTTACAAAACATATAATGTTAACTTCTGAACGATATATTATTTCAATGGCCTGAACTTCGCTGTTCTTTGATTGTGCTCTATCAGTAATAAAGTTTTTTTTTTTTTAAAAAATTACACTTTCACAAGACTTTGAATGCTACATACTTTTTTTGTAATAAAATGCAAGTTTTATCTCTTTGGAGCACATCACGTAAATATATTGATTTCATTAAATAAATGAAATGCTAGAAAGATTGAAAGAGCTCATTTTGATAAAATATAAACTAATATGGAGATAATGTTTAAAATATTTACATACACAGTAACGAGTGGTAATAATACGGACTGCTGCTTATGTACTTAATTTATCATCATTTTTGAAACAACAGTAAAATCATTTCATTTTCTAAAACACAATTTCATGGTTAAGGATATTTTTCTTCCATTTATAGCTGCACAGATCTTTGTATTTCTTTTCTTTTCGTATTGAGTTAAGCATTAAAATTGATGACTAATGTTACTTTATTGATTGCACACTTTCCAGTGCAAATTCCTTTGAAAAAAAGTAGTTCATTAATTTCACTGGGGATTGATCCATACATTTGTTCACTCATTTTTATTTTTCTATTTCTCTTTTTTTTTTTCATTTTATCTAGTTTAATAAATTTCCTGGCAAAATCATTAAATATTTTTCGTGAGTCATTTAAAGGTATAAAATAAGAAGGAATTCAAAAATTCAATCACTCACTTTTCAGGGAATAATTTCAAATTACCAATCGAAAACAAATATGAATGCTAAGCCCGGAAGGATAATTTTGCCATCAACAATGCCGTCGACACCGCTGGTATCTTTTTTTTTAGATTTTAGAAGACGTTTGAATTAATATTTCATGACTATATGATTGATTGTGTTCTTGAATAGCACAATGAATAATGAATACGTAATATCCGGAAATTTTCAAGGTAGAGCAAATATCCAACTCAGACGTTTCATTTTTGGGAATTGCAAAAGAATACTCGCTCGGAGCTTTTCGTACATCCAACATTTTAGGAAACTTCGGCAACATCACCAGCTGGAGTATCAGATGTACCAGTCTCCACTTTTATTCCATCAGCATCAATGCAAACAAAACACTTTGATACTGGAATTGAAGACAAAAATAATAGTGATTTTTCTTCCTCTTCGAAAAATTTGGAACAGATTTCAAAATTGCCAGCTTCAGTGATCATATCAACTCCGGCTGTACCAACAGACGAGAATTCTGTTGAAAATACACCAAAGAGCAAAGATGGTTTCATTTTCTACAAGTGTCGTTTCTGTGGACTTACTTACAACTATTTGACAACTTTGCGAGCTCATGAACGAGTACACAATATTGATGAAGTTTGTTCTTTTTAAAAAAGAACCTTCCCATAACTTATTTGGAAATTGTTTGATTTTTGAATCTTTGATACATTTTGAAATATTATCACTTTAGCCTTATAAATGCAATCGTTGTTCGGAATCGTTTCATTATCTATGTGAACTGGAGTACCACGCCAAACAGCACACTGGTAACTATTTTATTCGCTCTTTATATGTTTCCTTTTTATGCTAAAAAAATGCCGAAGGAGAACGCAAAACAATGGAGAAAAAACTTGAATTCTATTGATTAAATTTTATTAAGTTGAAAGTAAAAAAGTGATCATAAGATAGGGATTATGTTGGGAAATCTCCTGGTTTCTTTTAAAATCTTTTGATTTTCTATTTGAATTGCAACGCTTATCGATTTTAACTTTGTTGTTGAAGATTTGAAAGGTTACAAGTGCGAATGCGGCAGAACATTCCATTCTTACACCGATTTACTGTACCATAAACATCCAGGTGATGAGGATAAAGAATCCATCATTGCAACAGTTCCCACTGCTGCAAAATCTGCTCTGCCCATTCCAGAAAGTGACTTCCCCACTCCAGAATTTATCGAGAAAGGATTTGAACCAAAACATCCTTTGAAAGTTTACTCTGATGTGCGCCTCAATCCATACATTTGTCAATATTGTTCGAAAAGCTATCCAAACAGTCGGTAAAATTTCAATTTATTACATGATGAGCATCTTTTTGAGCAAACTCTATCGTTAGTTTAATTTAGAATGTAATGCTTGCAACAACAAAAGCGGTAACTGCATCTATTCATATTTAAAAATAAAACAAAAATTATGACTGTAATAAAAAGATTGAAAAAGGTTTTTTCTATTTCTGAAATTACTTGGTAATTTTCTTAATTTTTTGATAACTTGCAGCATGTTAGCATATCACATGTACGGACATCGAGGCGAAAGGATTTTCAATCCTCGTGCTTCAAGATATCTGATGGCACGCACTGAAAACTCCTATATCAGCCCAGGATTTTAAAAGTCAAGAAAGGCTTCGGATATCTCTAATAACAAGAATTCACTTCAGTTTGTGTATAATCTATACAAATTATGAAGAAATTTGTTTTTAGTTATCATAAAATGAGAAACTAAATTTTTGAACAAACGGCAGATTGGTCATAGCTGACTGTCTTTGACGAGCCCGCTTCTCCGCCAGTTATATTTATGCATGCAACAATATTACACAAATGTTTTGAAGTAGAGAAAAGATTCCAGGCATTCAAAAGAATAAAGCCGAGGACGTTTATCATATATACAGATCACTTATTATACCGTAATGAATAACGATTTATTTACTGATTTGAGAAAATTTCTGGCAATTATTGCCACTAATGAATGATGAACGAATAAATAACACAATGTACTGGCGAATCAATTGGTCTAATATGAGGCTTAACAAACTTATATGCTTTCATGGCATAAACTTAAATTCAAGATTTCCTTTACATAGTAAAAACGCTATTAATTTGAAGAATAATCAGATTTTAGTCCACCACTTGCAGTTCATTATGTTGGAATTTTTCCAGATTATGATGACATATCTCTGTATGTGCTCGTTTTAATAGTCCCACTTCAGTCATATTGGTATTCAATTCATTAAAAATTTTATATGTTCATAATAAATTTAAAACTTGCGTAACCGCGGGGTGCCTATTTGCATTAAATATTATTCTACCTTCTACAAATAAATTAAGATATTAACTCGTGTGATTTGCATTCGTTCATATGTGACCTGCATTAGGAACATTTAGCATATTATTCATTACACATTAACTAATGATATCAATTATCACTATTTCCAAGAACAATTCTTTACCTTCAACCCCATGAAAAGGATGCATTGAAACACACCTGATGGCTTGCAGCAATTGCTGTATCATCATCATTGTCAATGGTAATGGATGGCTCACCGTTGAGCAATATGCTATCGGCATCGGATTCCATTAATTGTTCTAAATAGGCCCAGTCATCGTTATTCCACTCATTATCTTTCACTACTTCTGATGCTTGAATGGCCGGTTCCTCAACCGGTAGTTTATCATCATCAGCGGCAACATAGTGTTTTTGTAATGAAGGTTCCTTGCAATCAATAGATGTCTTACGCCTTGCTAGTTCAATTATCTCTTCCAAAGTTACGGTTTGTTTAGGAGTTGGTAGTGATGTCCTGAATACACTTCCCGAATTGTCGTTAGTAGCCAACATCGGTTCCGATTTTGTTCCGATTTCTGAAATTTTAATTTCTTTGGAGAGTAATCTAATCAATTCTAAAAATTTGTTAACCAATCTATAGAAGAGCCTGAAATTATCAACTCATTAAATTTCAAACAGAATTTGCTGACAGTTCCGTTCACCTTGTACAAAGAAGTAATTTTGCCGGCGTAAGAGGTTTCGCTTCGCCTTCAAAAAGTCAGCTGATGCCGAAACGGAAGGTGTCGAAGGTTCCTGATTTCGGCGATGTACCTGATGGCACGACCGATTACAATTAGCAGTGGTGCAGAAAGGTTGCAATTGCATGCGCATCGCCCTATACATCAAGACTATGCTACAACAATATAAGAAGAGCTGCTAGGCAACGCTAGGCCTCTGAAGCAATACATATGTCATTAACGTACTACAATTCATCCAATTTTACATGCCACTTCATCATGAAGCGACATTCTTTCTAAATATAGCAGGCTAGATTTGTTCAATAAGCATAGTGAGGATGAGTAACATTAATATAAAAATATTTTTTCATGCCTCGATCAACAAAGAAAATACCACCAAACAACTTATGAAAACAATCAATTTCGTGAAGTATAGACAAAACCAGAAAATCTGAACTCCACTTTACTTATCACCATAACTGTTCATTGTTAATTGACATCATTCGAACCTGCCTTATTTTTCCTCAAAAAAGACTTCGTAAGGAAAGATGAAGCAAGTCTTCAAATAGATCATTGGAATCATTTCGATTTCCGAAAGAAAGACAAATATTGGTTACTTCAAAAATTATCTTCATACAATCCTAACAACTTCCTATTTCGCATAGATCTAAAAAATAATCCCGTTTAGAAACGATCAGTATTATATCATATACATGACTTTTGGCTTTTGACCAGCAAACAACTGAAAAGTGCTGCCATTGCATTAGTCGATTTCTAATTAATTAGCCACAACAATCCCTAATACATATACCTGGCACCAGGTATGGCCATTCATCCTACTAGTATTGGTATCCCTAATGCTAGGCTTTTTTTCTCTTGGGGGACTAAAAAACTGTGAATGTATTAGCAAGGCCGCATTATAAATAATCTCTGTCCAGGAATCTGTTAAGAATTATTATGGGTGAGTTGTAAGTTGGAATGAGAGATACTGTTATGATGTTATGGAAGAATAACGGTAGTTGGAAATTTTTATAGCTTCTTTTTCTTTCATTTCCTGCTATCAAAATAACAGATTTAAAAATCAAGGGAATTTAAAAACAGAATTTAAAATCGATGAGCGGTAATGAGATTAGTACGGAGCGGAAATTGGAAATTATGCAGCTAGAAATGAATAGCTTTGTAATGCGATTAGAACCGCGAATGCGTGCTCGATTCAATGATTCACTTCGAAAGGTGCTCGTTGAAAGTTTATTGGATGGGACTGTGTTTGCGATTGTCGAATCACTCAGTGATTTGCAGCGCATGAATGAAACGTAAATTTTATTTTGCTGCTTAATTTAAAAAATGAAAAATTCATTAGGACCATTCAACTTTATCTCGTTTATTATTGATAGTCTTTCATGAAAGTGCATCTTTTTCTTTCCCTTTAAAACATCCTACACACTACAATATGGTCGATATGTGAGTCATAAAAGAATGTTGTTGAAATTACTTAGGCAACAGTTGATAAATCTTGAATCTATTCTTCATGTACTTCATGACTCATTCCAATATATAGACAGCTTTACAATGATCGTCAGCAACGACTGATGGAATTGCAGTGCGTTCCTGATTTGGATGAACAAATGAAGCAAATTGATATTAATATTGTCACGGAGCTCGACAAGGTATTTTCTTACTGCTATGATATTAAAATCATTTTTGTTCTCATCAAAGTTCCAACATCGTCCTTATATGTGAAAGAAATGGTAGAAAGTCATTGACTCTTTACAGATAGTAGCGCAACAACAAGATACGTTATGCCGTGCTGGTGTTCCAGCATTTCACATCACAACTAGTCCTCGAGAAATTGAATTGCAGATGGCAATTATTAGTTTTATTTTAACAGTACGTGCTAGACTTCCATGACAGCTCTTGATAATTTTGTTTCTTTCTCCTTTTTATTGTTAAATATAATGCTAATGAATTTTTAACTTAATAAACATTTGCTAATATTGAGTGCAAGCGTTGAGAGCTTATACACTGAAACAATTTCGATGCTAGTAAATTTGAAAATATTTTCTTTCTCTTTAAATAAACGACAAGTCGGACTTCATGTGATCCGTTAATGGATTCCCATTAAGCATAATAATATACGCTTTCAAATAAATTATCACAGTATCGTTATTATGTACATTATATCTGCTCTTATTTGTATACTTATCGAACGAAATTTACTTTTACAGTGACGACATTTTGTTAAAACACAAGATTTGACGCAATAATGGTTTTGTCGGATTGGTTTCAATTTATTTCTCAAACAAATATACTTTTTTCGAGTAAAGAGACTCTCCGATACACTGTATTACCTTTATCTAAATTACCTCTCGTTGAGAGATAATCTTTGAGCTTACATATGCAACTAAAGCTTCTGAGGAATTTATCAAAACGGTGAGTGGTTAAGCTCAAAATTACTTTGAGCTGTAATAGCGGTTATTGTTCTTGCGACGTGTTCTGGTCTACTATAGTTTATTGGTGGAATAGGACTTTTTTCGAGATGAGCTGTGGCATTCTTGTCTTTGGGGCCTGTGGTTTACTTTAGGATGTTATTGATTTCAAATTGGGTGGGAAAGTTGAAGATCTCTATGTATTATCATTGGGTTTACGGTCAACTTGGTGATTGCAGTGAAATCGAAAAGGGCAGTAGATTGGATACTATCGTTGGTAGCCGGGCATAGTTTTTCTTGCTGTTCATTATTTTAGGTTTGTTCCGGTTAGATTTCCTAATAAAATTGAGATTGATGATGAAAATTATGAGGACCTATGGCTATTGTCGCTTTTTACTTTCTCTTACTTTTTACTTTCAGTAATATTGCTCCATGGTTGTTATGTAGGCGTTTTCTAGAGTAATGTGAGTTATGTCAGTAATGTCAGCCGTCTTCCTCGTTCTTGGGTAGTTTTAGTTCATCCAGTTTAATTTCAGTCACACTATGGGTTTGATTGATAAACCAATCATTGTTGATGGAAAAGATCATCTTTTGGGACGACTGGCATCAGTTATCGCTAAGCAGCTTCTCCTCGGTCAGAAAATTGTTGTTGTGCGATGCGAGGATATCGCCATTTCTGGTAATTTTCATCGTTCCAAACTGAAGTTTATGAGTTTTTTGCGTAAACGATGTAACGTTAAACCGGCGCGTGGTCCCTATCACTTCCGTGCACCAAGTCGTATATTCTGGAGAACAGTCCGTGGCATGTTGCCACATAAAACACATCGCGGAAAGGCGGCGCTGCTTCGTTTGAAAGCATTCGATGGCATTCCGCAACCTTATGATCGAGTTAAACGACAAGTTCATCCCGCAGCTCTGCGGCATTTGGCGCTGAAACCGCGAAGGAAGTACTGCACAGGTATTTTTGTGATAATATTTTTGATAATATGACGATATACAATTTCTTTTGGTTCGCTTTCTTACATGCATTTTTGTAATTTTGAATATGTTTAGTCTGGAAATTTCAGAAAGGCTTAGGAATTAAAGCCATTTTCATAAGACCTTATTTTTTTTTTTTAATTTTCATAAGACCTTATTTTAATGTTAATGTAGTTAAGTCATTTCTTTTATTTAAAAATAGAAATATTAATGTTGTAACGTATATTTTGTTGCTATTCGAATTTTCTGCAAAACAATGAGAAGTCAGATAACCTGAACGGAAACCAGACTTATTTCTTGTTGAGCACGTAGCCATGCCGTACTTAGAAAACTTAACAGTGTGATCTAGTTTTCAAATGCCATGATCAACGGCAATACATTTTCAGTTGGACGTCTTGCACATGAGGTGGGTTGGCAGTACCGTGATGTGGTCGCAAAACTGGAAGCCAAAAGAAAAGTTAAAAGTGCTGCATTTTATGAGCATAAAAAGATGAAATCGAAGCTATTGGCACAGGCATTGAAATCAGATCTTGTTAAAAATTCATCTTATCAAAAGCTGATAGAATCTTATGGTTATCAGTAAATTTCTGTTTTGTTATTAATGAAATAAAATTTTTGTTGTTTGATAAACACTGCTTTTTTTTTTAAAATACAGAAAAGTCACTGTTATGATAATATTTCGCCACTGCGTTGCTGCAAAAAGTAATATATATTGGAGATGGCTTTGCTTTCTAGGATATGCAATGAATGTAAAAATAGTGAAGTGAGGAGAGGTGAGTGATTTAATGTGGTTTCATAACGCTTTCCAAGGATGTAAGTTTAGCAGTCGAGCTCTTTGGACATGCTAGCAGAGATTAGCAGATTATTGGATGAGAAGAAGTACGATATTATTGCGATTGAATGCGAAGATTTGAGCTCTCCCGCTTTTTTACAATTGTGCATTGTTGATTATGCGATGAAGAAGAACGTAAAGATTATCTATGTATCGGCAACACGAAGTATGCTAGCCTTTAAGTTCGTTAATTTCTTTGTCATATTCAGCAGTAGTGGGCAGTCATACGAAATGTTTTAAATTTATGGGAATATATCCGTAAAAAGCATTGTTCTCAATTTCAAATACCCTTTGGCTGTTGTCATTACCTTCCTCCTTATATTTAAACATTTTCAATGTTGAGAAGATGGAGCCATTTTCCATAAGTATTGTAGCCGGTCAGTCATGTCGAGATTTGCTTAAATAAGAACCGTACAGGTACTTAATGAAGATTATGTGTGTGGTATTTTAGTAACACTCTTGCAGTGGTTATGTCAATTACTGGGAAATCATCCTAAATAACAATCACTCTTTGCTCTGCTGGGTGAAGACTCATGTCTTTGTAAAGAATAATTTGTTTTCTGTATTTAACAGAATTTACCAACTGATGTTTACTAGGGTAATGGCAAGCAAAGTGATGATACGATTATCGGAAAAGCTGAAATTTTTGCCGGTGAACCAGTTTCTCCCTCATGGCTTTATTAAGGATGATGATGACACATTATTTGCTTGTCTTTTGGAGGTATCATATCTTTTGACATTTCTGAACTTCCCAGGATCTCTCAACATTGTTTTTATTCCGGCACTTTTTGGGCGGTTTGCTGTTAGCGTAATTTTTACAAAATTTTACTTTGTTATAGGATATCAACAGACATATTGAAGAAGGCGACAATGAAGTATTCATTATATTTGATAATTTTACAGTGTTTTGTGATTTTGCTAATGCTGCCTCACATATTCCCGGATTTATACGACGTCTGCAACAGCTCAGTAAGAATTTAGAAATCAAATTGGTAAGCTAAACCAATTTTTCATTACTACCAACTTTTTAAAACCTCTTCATCTCGCTGACCGTCATAAAATGCGGCTTTAATTTACATGTGCTCGTTTTAGATGATAACTTTCCAGTCGAAAGACCAAATTTCGAATATTATCCTCCATGAAAGTGATATTATTATAAGGATAAAACGTGTTGGAAATGGTTTTGCCAAAGATGTCACTGGGCAGGTGAATTCATAATCTTATATCTTATTATGTTCCTAAGTGATTAACTTGCATTCATCAATTTGTATTAAATAGAAGCATTAACGACTTCATTAGATCTTATAAAAAAATTTTCGAACCATTAAACAATAGCTTTCGTCTCAGTTACAATTTTGCAGTTGCACGTGATAGAGCGCAATGATAAAACGCCATACTCAGAAAACATTTTCAATTACCATCTGAGCGATCGATCCGCACGACTTTTTCTTCCCGGAATGTCAAGGCCGGAATTATGAACTCAGTGCTTTGAAATGAGTTTTAACTGCATTATCTTTTCGGATTATTGCACATACAGTAATAAGACTTGACAATATAATTAAGTTTTGTTCCCTGGTATCCAAACAAATCAAAAGTACTTCAGAAGAATTGGAAAAAATAAAAAACAAATCAACAGCAAGTCTGACTATCGAAAAATATAACAATCGCTTCATTGTCTTGACAATCATATTTTTTTAGAAATCACATAAATATGGGAGGATGGGTGCGCACTATGTTTAAACAGTGATTTAAAAAGTCTAATATCATAGGTCTCTTCGTTAAAGTGCATATCTTTTTAAAGGTTTTGTGAAAAAGCTACAGTGTATTAAAGTTTAGCTTGCAGGAAGCAAATAATAAATCGAAGAAGAAAGGTTTAGATCTCAAAGAAGCAGCAACTGTCTATTTTTCTGTTTTGATGTCTTTAGAAAGCCAGTAACAACGAAAATAGTCCGACTATATGGCTAAAGTAATAAGAATCAGCCCATACCGAAAGTGTATGTCTCCAGGAATACCCCGTTTCTGCTGTACTGTCATCAAATGCCATTCCGAGGTACACCAAATGTATGAGAGCTAGAATTCGAAACATCACATTGATGGCTAGCGTACTTAAAGCATTCTGAAACCATAACATCAATGCACAGATGCATGCATCCATGTAATTCTAACATTCTAACATTTTGTAATATTTTTAGTTTCTATTTTAATTTCCTTTCTACCAACAATAAACTACAAAAACAAATAATTTAAGACCTCTTTATATTTATGGTGACACTCTTTGCGACATTTCCTTGCACGAACACATGAGTCTATGCAACGACTCAATTTACTTCTCAGTTCTGCAAATTAATTTCGTTAAATCTACATAAAAATTCTTGATCTAAAATGTTAAAAAAAAACTAAACCAACTTGTCTCAGCATATGTGTAGAATCCCAGCGAAAGTAGCACTGCAGATAACTGGAAATTGATGCCCTAAAATCGAAATTTGTCGATAAGAAGTTGCACTTCAAAGCAGAAAATCTTGTGATAATCGAATTTTTGTGCGGAACTTTTGCGAGGATTTTCTAGAAAGAACGTCACAAGACTTTATTCAAACTCAAATATATTCCAAAAACTGAAATGAAACTTACATGAAAAAGAGAACTAACAACGTAAGTGATGAAAATTGCAACTGCAGAGCCATATTTTTTAATCTCCCCAAATATATCTGTAAAATAAAATCGCAGATTTCACTCAATTGAAAGATTGAAAATGAAGTTGAGAAAGATGAGACAAAAGTTTTGCTTACACTGATGTAAAAACCGATGCATAGGTATATTCCATGAAACAACAACGTCTACGAGAGAACGAGGCAGTTCGATATGAATCCAATCAGCGATAATACCAGAATCAATACCCGACAATAACGAAGTACCAGCGGAAAACCAGCTTACAAAATAATGACTAAATCGGAATGACTGAGCAACAAAGTATGCTCCAACGAAAGGCAATTCGACAAAACTGTCGGCAATGCAGGACGAATGGATAACAGCCAACAGTGACAGAACAATGTAGCTGAGAGCACGAAAACAATTAATGATTTCTACCTAAAATTGTCGATTATTTTTTATAAGCTCACATAACATTTCTCAGGATTTCCATCCTTTTCTTCGAAATAAATAAATACCTGACTTACTTTGAATTCCCTCAGGTATAACGAGTCTTGATACTGTTTGTAAGTAACCCATGGACCAAATAATACAGTTGAACTGTCAAACATGTAGGAGAGTAAGTGCAACAATGTGATATTGCCATTGAAGTCATTGGAAAGATCAAATGACAATGAAGTAATTTTCATTAACATAATCATCAGTATGCCGCGCATTGACATAAATTCTTTAGCTGTGAAGAAGTATTGCCTATAAAATCATTCGAATAACTATACAAAATACAGGAATATTACTAAACGAATGGATAAACAGAAATGGAACTACGTTTCAGATTTCAACGCATTCCCAAATATGAATAGAAAGGCAAAACATTATACAAAAAATGATGATAACTTGTTTGCTTGAAATCTCCTTAATTTGGAATCTACAAATCATTACACATATACAAATGAAACTCACCAAACTAGAAGCATACCGATCGAATACGGCAACATCACAAACTTAGTTTGCTTGTTAAAGAGAAATTTATAATATGGTAATATAACAGTGAACATAATATATGTACAAATTGGTAAGAAATTATTTTGGGTTCCTATTATAAACAGTCCAGAAGCTACGAAGGTTACATGTAGCGTGAGTTCCTTGACTATTCCTGAAATAGATAAATAGCTAAAAGATGAAATAATAAAAAACATACTATCGGGAAACCTAAAAGAATTAAAGAGAAAGTAACAAAAAAAGAACAATAGAAATAATGGTAAGTTAAATGAATTTGATAATAACCTCAAATTTAAATATTTGAACATAATTTTCCTAGGGGCTTTATATTAAAAGTGAACGTTTACCTTTTGCGTATAAAAATACAAGAAATCGTTTCAAAGCAGAAAAGAACAACAATTTCAGTATGGTACTGTGCAAAGAACCGAGCACACCTATGGGACACAGCTGCCATTCCTGAGTCATCTGTCCCTTAATATACATAAATTCCTCATTGGATAACTGCACAATCTCATCGTTGAACCATCTTCCTTCATCAGACATTGCTATAACTATCATCCAGCTGCAGTTTAATTTGCAAAATAATACTGGTTGCCACTTCTGAAGAAATGAATTGATCTAACAAAGGCTTTAAAACATCTTAAAGTGCCTCTCCATGATCCTCTCACCACTAACGCTGACTTATTGCAGTTCAAAGTGAATTATATAGATTCTTTTACTGTAAGCAATGAAACATAATGACTTAATAAGTCATTACACATTTAGAGTGAATCAATTAAAATTTAAAGTGACCAAAGCATATCTAAAATTGACCAATTTAAATTTGTTGCGAATCAATTTAAATTTAAATCAATTAAAGTGAACCGTTTAATGATGAGATAGGAATGGTTGGATGTGCTACGAATCGTACTGTTAACAAAAGAAAACAACAGAAATCAAATGATCCTTACTGATTGCGTAATTATAGATGGAAGTAGAAGAATGATTCTTGCTGATAGTTTTTCATCTTTCACATGCAAATATCATCTGAAACATGATTTCAATGATAATATACTAAACTCATCAGTTTGCTCAGTGCAATAATATATGTGATTGGCAAACAACTGTTTCAATATTGCATTAATATATGGGAAACGAAAAGTATGATATTGGGACAAAGAGTGTCAAGTTAACTTCGAAAAAGTATTTCTGGTCAATAAGCCGTTAAGAGGTAAGTTAATGATCCCGAATTTTAAGATATCCTCAGGTTTAAGTTAATGCCACCGATTAAGGAAAGAGTGTAAAGTGATGGCCATCAGTTGACTATAAACTACCGTTGAGAGGTGAATTGAAGTTTGGTTTGAGTGAGGAGGTTAAGGTTTGCTATCAGTGATTAATTTGCAGAGGATTAAATGATGCAGTAATGAGGAAATCAGAAACAGCATCTGGCTGTTTAGCTACAGCGGCAGCAGATATTGCATGCATAAATCCTCTTAGTGGCAGCGATCTCTGTCCTCTTCTTCAGGTACGGCAAATCTTTTTCTCTTTTTTTCTTTTGAGGCCTTCCATTTTCTGATCTTTGATGACTTTTTTTTGTTTAAGAATATGTATAGCTGTTTTATTATTTGTATAAATCTTTTTTAGCAATTCGGTACGGCGATGAGCAAAGCCCATTTTGATGATGCTCGAGGATTGATTGAATCATTTCGAGGAACACGGGTTCCAATATCAGCTAGTGCTGAAGATTCTCTTTGTCATTTACTCCTTTCCGCTTGCATTCAGGTTGTTTTATTAAACTTTTTGTAACAGTTAATGATTATTGGAAGGATGCATTTGTCGCATCTGAAAGTTTTGTATTTTAGATAGTAAAAGCGGAGAGCGCATATTATTCTCTGAATTTTATGGTACCGAAAGCCTTTTTTCGGCGAGAAAGCACTCTGCTGTTAACTTACACACAGATAAAGTAATATTTTTGTTCAATCTTTTTTTCCTCTAACGTTGTTTTCTCACTTTAAACATGAATGGACAGAACTTTTTTAAATAGAGAGTTTGAATATTGTTGAACACGAATTTGCGAACATCTTTTGACTTTTACTGGTTACTGGAGTGGTTAGTTTGAATTGCTTTATATTCAACATTATCTAGAAAATATCTCATGGATTTGAAATTCTTGTTATGGTCATAACAGCAATGCAATTCAGAGCCGAACTATGTCGTATGGATGATGTCATGGGAAATACTAAGATTTCAGCAGCGGAGGATATCAGACGACGGTTGATTGACTTTACCAGTGCTAGAGTTTCGATGATCAATGTTTACAATTCATTTCTTGTTGAAAGTAGCGTTTTGTCGAACTTTTATTTTATTCTATGACAAATACAATATAAAGATACAAAATTCAACCTTTTATTTGCAGTGTCTACATTTTGTATTATTTAGTAATTCAGTTATAAAAATCATTCAGATTTTGGTCTTCCAAGTGAACTGATAGCTTTGACGACAGTCCTTTCATCAGTCGAACATTTACTAATGCTTTTAATTAATCACGAGTCACTTACATCCTTATTTACCTTTGTCGCTAACGAAATAGTGGCAATGAAGCTACTTTTGGAGGTACAGCTAGCTCTGATACGATGTGAGGTTCTGTTTTTATCCAAGCTCTTAATTATTTTTATTAAAATTAAACTTTGGTCTAAATGGATCCATAGATTTTTGTAAGTGAGCATTTCTTACCGTAAGATTAACGTTTGGTTATTTGGAATTATTGGTCTCTGTATTTCAGTTTTTGCAATCATTGATTAAATTGAAGAACGCACATGCTCAGCTTCAAACATGGTTCAATTCCGTCGGTTATAAACATGTGCAAACTAAAGCAACAGTCAAGTTCTTCGGCTTCGGTAATGATTTTCATTTTAAAATTACATTTGTCAATTTTTTTGTTCAAATATTTATCTTGAAGCTGTAGAACTTCTTAGTACCGTTTTTTGTTAAGATTTTAACTTTACAATTTCAGGATCTCAAGTTCAGTGTTCTCCTTTGAGGCTATGTAGCTGGACCTATGAATTTTACATGTTATTATTGGCGAAATTCTCTCTATATTTTCATGATTCACTACAGCAGCAGTGCTCAGTAGGTGACTTTGATCATACAATTGGTACTATGAAATCACCGAATTTTGTTCAAATATTCGCTACATTTCAACGCAGGATGGAGCCATTATATATTCTTCTAATTGCTAATCGTTGCAGTGCTCCGGACATATCATCTTGTTTGTTTTACCGCTATTAGTTCGCCGTTTATTTTCACTGTTTTTTTTTTTTCGTTTCTTCCATTTTTATTTCTCCATAATTCTTGAAATAATCAATATTGGAAAATTTTGAACTAAAAAAACTTTGATTCCTAAGCTTTTAAAATTCTTGTCTTCGTAATTGCATTTAATACCCGTTTTGTCTCCTTTTTCTTGTTTATATTGTTTCAGATGTCTTCAGTGCAAAGTATTTATTTCACTTTTTTCCGTTATTTTGGAAATTAAAATAGTTCAAAAAAAAAAAATTCCAGTTGTTGGTTACGGCCGTGCTGCGGACCTCGATGATGGGGAAGGTGAACTGCGAAAAAAATTTTTAATTCTTTTAAAAATAGGTGGTGAAACGAAAGAAGTGGGTGTGTTGCTTCCGTCAATTTCCATACTTGTACAAGAAGCAGGTGCTAAAAAATCTGTAACAGATCGTATCACATACTGCTATGATCAGCTTATGTCCAGGGTACGACTTTCTATTTTTCGTGTTGTGTGTTGATGAACAGAAATAGAAATTTGCATAAGTTTTCTAAATGCAGAAATAAATTCAAGGTTCAACAAAGACAGAAAAAGAGATAAATTTTGGGAAAATTTCTCCTCGGTCTTTTTCAGTGAGATTGGGTAAATTGAATGAATAACCGCAAGAGACATGTAGAGTTGTAATGATACAGTTTTAGATTGGCAAACATGGATGGTTCTTTAGAAAAACAGAAAAGTACTTTCCAACTGTTTACATTTTCAAAGCTGTTAATTTACCAAGATTGCAAATGTTATGGTATTTTTTTCATTCCAGAGTTTCTTCGTAATGCCGGTAGAATATTATTTATATATAACAATTGTTTTTGATCGAAAAGTTAGCGAACGTGATAACACGGTGGTTAATTTTCTGCTGAACAATTGCAATCAGTTGCGATGTGCTAAAATTTGCCAAAGTTGGCGAAAATTTTCAACGTAGTCTATTTTGATTGGAAGTTTTATTATTTTGTTCCTATTGTTATCATCCTTATTGTTACAAAAAGTTTTAGCTTTGCTACGTACATCTGCGGTTATATGATAAACAACTCACTACCTCTTTCTCTGATATATTTAAGCAAATACGGATACTTCTCGAGATATTTTTAGAGTATTATTTAACCTTCTTCAGTTATATCTTTCTAAAGGAAACGTAATTTCAGAAAATTTTATCCAACTATTTTTAATCAGAAACTATTGCGCTTTGTTTAAAGCACAAATAATCTCTATTACATCCGAGAGTGCATATATAATTACAAATAATGTTTTAATAATTACATATATAACGTCCTTGAATTTTTATATCTCAGAGTGGTAAATGCCACGTTTCAATTTTCAGTCATGTAGAATAAAGAATGAGTTGACTGCTTTCTTGCTTCAATAGGATAACTTCATATTACAAACAAAATATGATTTCCCATCACTGGCTCTTGACCAATAAATGCTGTTACTACGAGTAGTAGTTTTAAAAAATCCATGTGAATCTATGATATTGGTAGTGACAATTTTAAGAAGTTAGTGATGTTTACATGAAGCAGATTTGCTATAAAAGATCTCGCACTGGAATGCCTTTATAGCAAATCTGCCTCATCATCATATCCATCACTATCATTTTATTCCGTTCACATGCAAGAAAAAAATGGCTTTTCCTATTAGTCTATGAATAATGTGATATTTGTATAACCTTCCTATACAGTGATTGCTCATTTATTTTTTTAAACTACACTTTGCATTTCAATGGAAATTTTTTTAAAGCAATATTGCTTTTGTGTTCCATTTCTAACTTGAAAAAAATGAATTGGATGCAAGGTAATTCAAACTTTAGTTTTTGCAAGAATTCACTAAGATCCCAGCGTAGTGGTGACACTGTGCAAGAAGGATGTGACTACGACGTTGTTCACTGTTTCTTTTATTCTACTTAACTTTTGTTCTTTCAAACACAGTAACATTCATTTCATGTCGTTATTATTCGAAAATATATTATGTGAAGTTTCCTGATCAAGTTTCTTCAGCTGGCTGAGTAGCTTTCAAAATGGATAAGAAAAGAGATGAGTCTAATGCACAGAAGAAATTCAAAATCGAGCTTCTAATATCTATTGTTTTATTGAGTTTATGAAGTTCATCTGAGCTGGAATATAAAGTACAGTAGCTTGAAGTAGTTATGAAAAGGATCATTAAATATTTGACGATCTCTACTTGAGCTTTGAAATGAGGAATATAGCACGTCGTCACAAGGAAACGCACGTTTTGATCAACTAATCAATGTCGGTAATTAATGACAAATGATAACTTGATTCAGCAATTAGGGTTGAAAAGATTTGTCATTATGAATAGATGCAGAAATTATGCGTTCTTCATTGAAATAAAATTAAAAGCTCATATTTTGCATGTACATTAGGATTGATCTCACAGAAGGTCCCTTCTTTTTTTTCATTAAGATTTAAAAAACTAAATCAATTAATGACGGTCGTTAATTGAGTGCCCATCGCTTATGTACCCTAAGCTCAAAGTCCCCTTATTTCTCTCTCGGACGGAACATATAATGAACGAGACACTGCAATGGCAAGCTGTTGGTACTTCAATAGCATGCTTGTTGTCTGTAGGTCTCATTAGTGACACTAACGACAATGCTTCACTTTTTATCGGTATCAAAGCATGTCTATCTATGCAGACGTGACAAATCAAACGTCCTCAATATCATTGAATATCGTTGAAGAAGCATGAAGCATGCAAGTGTAAACGCATACGTGGCATGCATGGTTCATGCAGCTGCAGTGTCATTTAACATACCATTGTTTCTTGCTTGCAAAGTAAAAGGAGAAGAAAGGGAATGACAGGTAAAACAGGTATGACGGCGATGTCATTCGTGAATTAAGCGATTCGGAGCTGTTACTCGCACTTATCATACCGGGTAACGATAGTGCCGTTACAGGAGACAGGCCCATACAATCAACTTGTCACCTCTCCTCACATATACCCTTCCACTCTCATCTTCATTTTCTCCTACATTTTTTTTCCTCTCTGGGTCTCTCCTCCTCCCCTTCTATATACATATGTTCGTATCTCCTAATATGTCTGCACTTCTATCATATTCTCCATCGATTCGTCAACATGTCGTCCATAAACTCTCTCTCTATCCCTGCCGACTATTACATACAGACGGACACACATACACACAGATAGACACAGTCATAATGCTATCGATTCACAACGCTATGCTTTGTTAACTGTAAGATTAAATCGTTGCTACTACAATAAGAATCCATTACTATCCTCACCATTTCGATTTTATTGCCTACTACTCTCTATGATTTAACTTATTGTAGTCGCACTTATTTGCAAGTTGAACAGGATCGCTTACTTATTGTTGCTGATTGAGAGATGGCGTTGCCTTGGCTACTGCGTACCAGGCAGTGAACATTGAAAGATGTTCACTTCAGACTCAATTATTATAACGAATAACTAATAACATTTGATTGATTAATTAATCAAATGTCATCATTAACTTCATGCGGAATAGTAAATATCATTTCATTCCTTTACTCCTTCTTTTCTCATCAATTAGACAGAGAGCCTCCTATTTTAATTCATTTTATTTCTGCATAATATTTCATAAAAAGTTTGTATTTATCACTTAGCTAACAGCTCTCCATCAACCATTTTTTGCAAAAAAAAAGAAGGATTATAAGGGATGCAATATTTGAAACGGGGAAGTTAACCTGTAATATTAATGATTAATTGATGTTTGTTAATTTTGTCCGCTAATTGGCAACATCTTAAATTATTGCTCTCTATAAATAGTCAAAGTAATAAGCTGTTAAGTAATGACGCTTAAAATCCATCATAGCCATTCAAAGATTTATTGCTTTATCCATCTTTAAATCATGAAAGCAATATCGTATTTTTTCATAATTTATTTGTGGATAAAATTTAAAACGAAAGCTTTTTCAATTATGGCTTGCACTTGGCAGAAAATTGAATTATCTGCTTGTATTTCTTCTCCTGCATACATTATATTAATTTACAACTCTTTTTTACTAAGTTGAAATGAGAAGAAGAAATGAAGAAATTCAACTCTTGACATAATGTTGTCAATGCTGTTAAGAATTTTTTTCTCATCTGACATTAAAATTCGATATGCCTTCATTAGTTTGCTCACATTATACTTATCTAAAATATCTGTTAAAAGCTTTTAACTGATCTTTTTTTATCACAAACTACAGTGATTGGTTTAGGGAAGTATTAAGTAGAAAAAAAAAATGATTCGAAAATTTACACTCATCACTAAAAACCTGCCAACCGATAAATTGTGCGATGTTAAATCCATTTTCTGTCAATGAACATCATACAAGGCATACTTACTTGCATTCTTTTAATTCCTTCCAATTTTTTACAGTACAAATTTTCGATTTAAATCTATCCTTTCTATCTTTTTTATTAATTTCACTTTGCAGAACAGAGGCATTTCTCTAAATCCTTTCTAACCGTGTTTATAATTTTTTTTTAACAAGTATAAAGGATAAAATATCTAGACTACTTAGCGTTTTTTTTTTTCGGGAATTAAACTAATCGCTCAATCTGTATGGCAAGGAAGAGATTAGACCAACGGATCAGGACAAAACAAATGGGAGCTAATCGAAATGATAAGAAACTATTATAAGCTTTTTGAAAACAATCTCAAAAAATGGCCAAATAGTTCATGAGAAATGGACAAAATTTGAGCCAAAAGAAAAAGAAGAAGAAATTGCTATTTATTAAGAAAAGGAACGATTTTCTGAGATTTATAATATTCAAATGATAATAAATTCAAAAATAAGCAGAAGTCTAAGAATTGTCCGTTCATTCTTTTCTCATTTCCTTTCAGACAATTTCACTCTTCTTTGTCTGTTTGATTGAAGTTTCTTTTTTTTCAACATTTCCATTTTTTACAGTACTGTACTATCCGTTTGTCATTAATATCAGTAGAAGAAGAAAAAGCAATTCTTTAACATTTTTAAATCAAATCAAAAGAAACCTTTTTAAAAACATCGATACCTAACTCATATCATACATTAGATGTCACTTGCTTAGTTATGCTTCTTTTAATATTGCTGCATGGTTTTTCATCTTTCTTTTACTCATACTATTGTTAACTTATTATCCCGGGAAAACATAGCTTTTTAAATTTTATATTTCTTTCAAATATTATTAAAAGCTTGCTTCAGTATGGCCAAAGCTTTTTTAGCAAGCATTATTTCAAGGACGCCATTTGTCATGTTAAATGATTGCCCGCTGTCAGTTGGGAAATTCACTATAAATGTGTAATACTGAGACTGATAAATTAAATTGATAAGGTGTTTTAACCTTTGATTGTTTTATGTGCAAATAACTAAACTTGCACTTTAAAATATTATTAAATGGCTTATGCTATCAATACTGATCCTTATGGATGCTCCTGAGCTACTTATACCACTTTTTAATGCATTTTTAATTTTTCAATTTCTTCACATGATTTTGCACTTTTTCAATTTATAATGAGAATAATCACCGGTTTAAAACTGTTCGGCAAAACTCCAGTATTTTATATTTAAGGAAAGTTAATGAGAGGAAATGAACCAGTCGTTAAAGAAAAATTATGTTAATTAGTGCAATTGAAACGTCATGTAGTGGTGTTACATCTGTAATTCTGATGTAAAAAGAACACTTATCAATAGATCCGTCAATGTTTACTCTTAAAAGTTAGAAGATGAGATTGATAAATATCTTTAATAAACATTGCGTTTACATTTTATGAGCAAATTTTCTTTGAAAAAGATAGAAAATAAGCTAATTATTGTATGGTGATTCTTTTATGGCTATCATTTTTCTTGTTTTCATTTAAAAGGACAGTCAAATTTCCTTTATATATCGTCTAATAGCAGTTATTATTGAATTTTAATATTTTCATCTTAAATCCTTTTACCTTTTCTGTATGAATATTCTTAATTTTTCATTTACAATTTGCTATTTTTCTCCTCAAATTATTTAAATATTCCATTTTTTTTCTTCCTTTTTTTCCAAACTTAACTCTCCGTTTCCTTTCCACTTTAATATAAATATTGATTTTATCCATGAAAAGGAATTTTTTTCATAAGAAAAGAGCAAAATCTGAAGATAAGTTGCTGTTTTGATAACTTGCAGTTCATCCATTTGCTTCATCACGGACTCATTCATTTTTTCTCATGTTTTAATCCAGCATATTGTGCTCGCAACACATATTGATGGAATATCCTTAACTTATCATTCAAATGATCTTCACTTCCATTATATTTTCGTTCCTCAAAATCCTCCTCTCATTTTTTATCGTTAAATGACATACGCGTGTAATGCATGCAACTTTTTGATTTGATTTATTAACTTCGTAATTGTGTACATCAAGTTTAAATTTATTTTTTTTCTCATTTTTCTTAAATGAAAATGGGAAGATGTGCTGATTGAAATGGTTAGGAAATTGTTTTCTCTCATTCATTTATTTCTTGCACAATTTTGATATAGGGTAAGGAAATTAAAGACAAGAACATATGTTCAATTTTCTTCTATATGTTTATTTCAACATTTTATCAGAATTTAATTAAATCACAAAAGAACATGAAGTGTCTTATTATTTAACTCGCTTATAAGAGCGGCATTGTGGTCAGTGGGCTGAACAAGAAAAATGCGCATTTTAATTATTTACCATCTGCTTGGCGAACATTATGTGAAAACATTATTCTTTATGAGTAGAGCAGTGCTACTGAAGCATTAATGAGTGTCGACATAAAAAAGATGAGATTGAATGCAAATCTCCCAAACAAAAGTTAATCCCTTATTCATAGTGCTCTTAGATTTTGCATTTCTCATCCTGCTTTAATTTTATCTCCAATGATTTTTAAGTTAATCCATTCACGGTTCATAGTAATCAAGGCTTCAATGAACTTTAAGCACTCTGAAATGGAAATACAAATATTAGAAAAAAAAAGTAATTGATGGATTAATTTTGAAAGATCTTGAAATCTGTACCATCTTGATAAATAGCAATGGATAAGGATGTATTCCATCTTTTTATATCGTTATTCTTATCACTAATTTTTATTTTATGATTTATGGGGTTTTTTTAATTCACTAATCACTAACTGACCAAAGTTATATGTTCTGCGATCAGAATAATGTATACATATCGATCGAGAAAATAAAATTGTGTCATCGGATTGATGACAGAAAATGAAATCATGCAAAGCAATGAAATGTTTGAATGAAAATCCAATGCGCAAGAAATTTTTTTACAAAAATATATCAGGTTATTTTACACGAAATTTCCTATATTCTAAGAGAGAAGATGTGGTCATTATAAAACAAACTCAATTTGTGTTCTTCCATTTAGTTATTATGTAAATTATCACTTCCTTAGTAACTGTTATAATGAATATCGGGACAAATTCTTAATTTTAGCTAATATGTGGAAAAAGCAATATTGAACCCCTTGCTTTTATTGCTAATTAATTATTCATTCACTAATGAATTCAAATGCTTTGGAGACCCATATGTTTGCATTTTTTTTTTTAAATAAGACTGTCCGTTTTATGGTTATTCAAAGAGGTAATTTTGTAATTTAGTTCTCCGTTTATAAAATATTCAAAATTATAGATTATGTAATTATCTGCTTCCTTTCCATATTTTAAGTAAAAAACACTTAAAAACATGTTCAAGCATGAGCACTGTATAAATATCGCAGTTGAAAATGGGATCTTTACTTAGCTACTGAGAAATTTCAATTCCAGGATTATCAGTTGTGGAATGATATTTTCATCTTAAAAAAATATTTTTTGGTTTGTCAATGACCGATATTTACTGTTAGACATTCATGTTGGAATCATAAAATAGTTAGTATAAAAATTAAGTGATAGAATGAGTGATGAACTATTCATAGTTGATGAGCACTTCTCTACTGATAACTTGCAATTTTTTTATCGTAATTTCTCAAAATTTTAAAAAAATTTACGGAAGTGGTTTTTTATAATAATCATTTTTCACATTCTCAACTTGAATTCATCATAAAATCAAATTTATATTGAAAAATTTATTTGAAAAAGTGGTAATATTCCTCCATTATTAGTATTGTAGTTTGAAAAAATATTATATTTCGCATTCAATTTATTAAATGTATGAAGCGCAATAATGATTGTATTTATTGCAACTGTTTGATAAATGTTTTTTAAGCAAACTGAATGAAGGAGAAGATCAAAGTTTGTATGGATGAGGAAATAAATAATATATTGAAGATATAATCAGAATTTCACACATTCATCACACAAATCCATAAATATATCCGATATTAATATAATAGTAAAAGATAAAGTTAGCGTTAGCGTTTCTCATTCCTGAAACGCCTAATTTAAATAACATCACTTCACACCCTTAAGTCATTCATAATTATACAGCTTCATTTTGAAATCAAAAATTTAAATAACTGGAAGGATGAAATTAAGCTAGGATTAACACAGAGAAATAATTCCTTGATTTATCTGAAAATTTATTTCATGCTATTCACAAAGCTCATATGTTTTTCATCTTGTCGGATGTGAACGACTATAATAATTCTATTACTATAATAATTCTATTACTGTTTATACAGTTGTAAATTTTGAGCAAAGTTTTACTTTCTTGCTAATAAAGTTGACCGTACTTTCAGTGATGACAGAAAAAGGTGTTGCAGTCTTTAAAAGGAAGAACTAATAAGGATAAGGAGAAAGGAAATAGAAATTAAACAAACTGAATTCGAAGCAAGGTAGACTGAAATTTTGTTATCTTTGTGATATCCTTGATCATCTCACTAACAAAAAGTACCGGGAAGGAAGCGGGAAATGAAGAGATTGGAAAAGTAACCGTTCTGTTTTCGAGGAATAAACATATTCAAACAGAGTACGATTTATAAAATTGTATTTTTTTTTTGACCTCACTTAAATGATACTAAAATATGAAAATGAATGCTTGATATTATATAATTGTGCGATCAGGTCATCTTCAAAGGTCACTCATTCCGTTGCAATTTATTTTCTTTGCACATTTATCAGAAGTCTATGGTCGAGGGAATAAGAATAGAAATGAGACAATGAGGTGCTCTATTTGAAGAATCCGAACAAAACCAAGAGTTTCCATCTCTTTTCCTATCCTTACTGTTTACATTTCTACATCTTTTCATTCTTAATGAAGCGTTCATTTTAAAAATTTCGCTTTTGTCAGAGGTATTTTCAATTTTCGATTTTTCTTCCACCAAGAAATTTCCACTTTTGCCTTTTTTTCCCTTCATACATTAATATTTGATATTTGTTGTCACCGTATTTGTTTCATTATTAACTTGTTTACTAAGTGGGTCAGGAGTTTATTAAAACCTGAATATGTAGTGACTCATAGTCTGTTTGCAAAAATTTTTGATATTCCAGTGAACTCAATAGTTTAAAATTGAATCAAACTTCTGTAGGATGTGAAATGCAACAGTTTCAAATGTCATTCTTTTCTCTTTCCAATTATTTTAGCTGCAGCACTAGAAAATATAGAAGAAGTCGGAATATATTGTAATTGTAATAACGATTTGAATAACTTATTCACAATATATATTTTTATTGAAAATTACTCTTTTATATAGAATTTTCCAATGAAAATTGAATGACCCGCATTCATTTAGACATCTTTTGTGCATTATATGTTTATTTCGATCCGATATTAAAAGTAGAATCGGAAATTCGTATTTGTACCTCTCTTTTTATACATGCATTTACAGTATTTTTTAATTAATTTTTTCCGATCATTTCCGCTTTAAAATTTCATTTTATTTTTTGGCATTCTTTTATTTCATTTTTTTTTTCTTCAGGAGAGGAATTGCTCATTCAGCTAACAAGAGAGCAAAGTAATTAGGAAGAGAATAATCGAATTTCATACATCAACAGTGATTTACTATTAGCAACTTTAAAAAAGGCGTTAAAAAATGCCATTTTTGTGTTTGCCTTTTTTTGCCTGCAACAGGCAAATGGACATGTTGGATCGCCGACAATGTAATCTTCAATCGATACCGCATGATATCGATCGGAATGCTCGAACACTGGAAGAAATGTATTTGGATTGCAATCACATCAAAGATCTCGACAAGGTTTCAATTTCTTTTTTACTCCCGTAATGTAAATGAATGTGGAAATTCAATCTAATATGCTATATCGTACACATGCTAAACATAACAATCGTGCTAATCGTCCAAAAAAAAGGCTTTTTTTATTTTTACTTACGTGTGACGATCACTTGAAGCATCGTTTGTTCCGATCTCTAGTAATCTTTTAGTAACAGCAAAAATAGAAAGTCTTTTTTTCGACGATTAGTACGACTTGTTTAATGTTTTATAGTGCACTACTTTTTTTTTGTTCATTAATCTTTTTTCGTTATCAGTATGATACCGTAAACAAAAAGTCAAGGTTGTACGGTCTTGTTATCTGGCAAGTTGCTCTTATTTACTCCTCATCTTCTTAGAAAACAGTACTATGGATTTGCAAAGGAATGTCAAGGTCAAACAAAAAATATGACTTTTTAATTCCATTTCTCAAAAAATATGAATATTCTGAGAGTTGAAATTAAAGAAATAGAAAATATGAATTTTCTGAGAGATGGAATTAAAAAGTCACGTTTCTTTGAAATTAAAAGTGGAATTTTGAAAATGGAACTAAAAATGATGAAATTTTGCTGGCATTTTTTATCAATTCATAGCCAATTCAACATAATTAAAATGATTAATTTTGTAGCCATTATTTCGATGCCGAAAATTGAAAATTCTAAGCTTGAGTGAAAATGAAGTTATTCGTTTACCCTCGGACATTGCTCACCTTACTTATTTGGAGGAGCTCAATCTGAAAGGAAACGGTAAGTGCCAATGACAGCATTCTCAGAAAGTTTTTAGAAATTTTTTTTTTTTTTAAAATAAGACGATATGAAGCAAGTAGAAGTTATAAGAAGAGTGAAAAATATTTGGTAAATTGTCTTCTAATAACATTTTTTTCAATCTTTTTCTTTGTAATCAATCCTATCCAAAAAAAAAAACAAAATAAATTTTTTAGCTGTCTTAAAATTATAATTCTGCAGATGTTTCTGATCTTCCGGAAGAAATAAAAAATTGTATTCAGTTGAAGATTCTTGATCTTAGCTCGAATCCTATCACAAGGTTAGTAATTTATCGATCCTTTCGTCTAATTCTGTTTCATTAATTAATACTATTTATCTGTTATTAAATTAGTGTTACATTAAAGAAATTGACTTTTTTTTGCTCTTATACAAATTATTTAAAATTTTATCCGAAATTGGCAAAATAAAGAAAATTGTTAGGTCCTGAAAATTACCAGGCAAGAAATTATCAGATTAATGTTTTTGACAATATGGCCATGAAATACAAAAAACGTTGAACTCATTTTTTTTAGGCTACCACCAACAATAACTCAACTAACATCAATGACAAGCCTTGGCTTAAATGACATTTCACTGACTCAAATGCCTCATGATATTGGCCAGCTGCGGAATCTGCGATCCCTGGAAGTTCGTGAAAATTTATTGCGAACAATACCTCCATCGATTAGTCAATTAAACCAGTTACGAAGGCTAGACCTTGGACATAATGAACTTGATGATTTGGTTAGTTTTTTCGTCTCTTCAAGTCTATCACTATGTTCTACCATAACCAAAAGGTTTACGTTCGGCTGTCATATATTTGACAGGTTCGAGGCATTTTCTTGAGTGGCTTCATTCAAACTTTGTTTTTTTATCATTTCAGCCAAACGAAATAGGTATGTTGGAGAATTTGGAAGAATTATATGTGGATCAGAATGATTTGGAAGCTCTTCCCGAATCGATTGTTCAGTGCCGTTCATTAGAACAATTAGATGTTTCCGAAAATAAGTTAATGGTGTTACCGGATGAGATTGGAGATTTGGAAAAGCTAGACGATCTTACTATTGCTCAGAATTGTCTTCAAGTGCTGCCAAGTTCGATTGGCAAGTTCTTAAAATGTTTTTTCAGATTTTTAGGAATCACTGTTAAGAAAAAGCTTCTGATTGTTTGCTTTTATCGATATTGTTTCGTTGGAGAAATCCATTGATATATTTTTCATTATCATTTGACTGATGTACGCTTTAAAGAATTATTTTTATGACATCCATAGTTTGTTGTAAAAAGTTGTCTCACAGTAATCATTTGTAATTATTGTCACTTGAAGCTTCTATGCTAAGAATAATACTTATATTCTCTTATTACAGGACGCTTGAAAAGACTGTCTATGTTGAAAGCAGATCGTAACGCAATTACGCAATTAACACCTGCAATTGGTAGCTGTCATGCACTAACAGAAATCTATTTAACTGAGAATTTGCTCACAGTAAGTGTCTTCTATTTTAGATATCTACGATGAAAGGTAAGTCCGATTCATGAATACCTTATTCCATGAAAATTGATTATGAAATTAGCTCCAAACAATCAAATCCTTAAAATTGTAAATTTAAAAATAACTAGTAAATGTAACAGGAACTTTCAAGTTCCTTTTATGGTAAAATAATGAAGTTTACACTTAAAAATTTAATGAATTTTCAGGAAATTCCTAGTTCAGTGGGTAATTTGAAAAACTTGCGGACACTCAATTTGGATAAGAATCAATTAAAGGAACTCCCTCCTACGGTTAGTCCTACCATACTTTTTGCGACAGAATTGATTTTGTTGCTTTTTTATTGTTACATTTTGCATTTTGCTTTTTTCTTTCCATTGTAAAAAATGTGGTTCAGTGAGCTGATTTTAAGATTCATCTGACAGGCAATCAAATGATGTCATAAAGAACTCATTTTCTACCGTTAGAAATAGTTGTTTTCAGATTGGTGGTTGTACCTCGTTGTCAGTTCTTTCGCTTCGTGATAATTTAATAGAGCAACTTCCACTTGAAATTGGACGACTTGAAAACTTGCGAGTATTGGATGTTTGCAACAATCGTCTGAATTATTTACCGTTTACAGTAAATGTTCTTTTCAAGTTAAGAGCTTTGTGGCTGTCTGAGAATCAGGTGAGGATCACTTTTTATATACAACTTCTGAAATCATACGGTTGAGTTTTTTAGAATAATTTTTTGCACCATTAGTTTTCCGAGATGTCATTTATTAATCTATCTTTCAGACATTTGTATTTATTCACATGTTTAAATATTTGTAATTGAATCCTCTACTTATTTAAGAAGCATTTTTGTTTGTCTTATTATTATTATTATTTTAGTCGCAAGCAATGTTGAAATTGCAAACGGAGCAAGATCCAAGGACAGGAATCAAAGTTCTAACATGTTATCTCTTGCCACAAAGCAATTCGCAACACGGTATTTGAAATTTCCTTACTTTTGATTTTCTTTGTTCTCCGAACGACCTACTAAATAGATGATAAATTGTTTCACTATTGAATTGTTATATTGCAGTAGAACGTGCTCCACCAAACCGTTCGTTTATCGGTGGTCCCAAAGTACACTTTGGTAGCGATCTGGAAGAAACGCATGAAGATGATGAGAATGAAATAGGGCAGTTTTCACGACACGATACTCCTCATCCAAAGCCGCACTCCCACACAGCGAAGTTCAAAAAGCAGTCCATTGATGGTCATATAATTCATCATGATGATGATGTAAGTAGCACATCTTAGATTTTTCCATGGACTGATGCGCTCTGTGCTGACTATCCAAGTTCTTATTGCCTTTTTTTGTAGAAGTTGCGGTGAGTGAGTAACTGCGTACTAGTTTAAGTAATTTGACTATGTGTTTCCTAGGTTTAAAGGTAAGTTACAAATTTTAGGGAACTTGAACGCTCTTTTTTTCAGGAATTATAGCAGTACGTTTATTTACAGAACCCATCTAAGGTTTGCGCACGCCATTTTCCCTAGCGAGAAGTTTTGTTGCTTACTGTTTTTTTGCCAGCTTTCGTGCCTTTATGCTTGAAGAAATTTATAGGAATTTTTTCCATTTAACTTCTTTACAACATAACGAATGAGTCAATAAATACGAGATAATTTCAATAATTTTATTTTCATTCTATGCTAATTTATTGATTTTATCTAGGAGACGCGCTAAACTTAAATGATCTTCCTGTTGATATGATTTATTTACTGATTTTAATGTGATAAAATAGAGTGAGATTATATATTTGCATGTTATTAGTGTCTTATTAACTCAATCTGTAATTTTCAACAAATTGCAATTTGAACTGATAATGATAACTTGTGCTCCCTTTTGCAGCAGTCCGCAAAACCACCGATATTGACGTTGAATTCTGGCCGAAAGCGTGGTCCTGATGAAGGTTCACCTCGTCCAATGTCTCCAACTGCACCAACAGCTACTCAAATTGCTTCACTTCGAAGTGCATTGAAGCATCCGCCTGTACTACCATCAGCTGCTAATTTTGAACACAATGTAAGCTTCCACTTTTTTTATGTTCCATCGTTTGATTTACATTTGCATTTATAGAGTAAGGAGATGACTTATCGGGTCTATCATGGCCCTTTTTGATATTCTTGAAGTTATTTTTATTATGCTGCATTGAAACGAATCAAAATTGAAAATTTTCATGCACTTATTCCATCTGATTAAAATCTAGTGTTTCACTTTGATTTATGCTATTACCAAAATGTTATAGAATTCACAAATCTCAACGAAAATTGATTTACAGTTGTAATTGATTGACTGATCAGTATGTTTTTGATCATATTGTAGATATTTATTATTTCAACAAAAACTATCATCTGATCATCGAATCCTTTTTTAACTAAACCTAAAATCAGATATCAGATTTCAAGTTTAAGAGATGCTGACATCTCGTTAGAAAGTTTCAACCATAACATTATCTATCTCTTCCAGTAAAATGATATTATTAATGAATTTTTGTGAAGCAGAATGAAATACTAGTTTCCTGTTGCTTGTATCGGAAAATATAGAATAGAAAATGTTTCAAATCAACGTTTATAATTAATTCTAATAAAACATGACGGAGATTTTTGTTGATTCAAAGCATGCGATATTTATTCATAGAAATTATGGTGATTATTTTGTTCTTTTATCTCTTACATCCTTTTGTATATTCGGGTTCTTTGATATGCCAAACAATTATTTAAGAATATTCCATAAGCAAACAGATGATGCATGGGTTTAACTTCTCACTTGGTTTTTTGATACAATTCTTGGTTCTTAAAAAGATAATCATTTGTAATATTTCTTGAGAATCTGGTGGAAATATTTAATGTAAATTAAACAAGAATTTCATAATTTTTAATTGTAATCGAAGCAGTAGGGCACCAGACCATTTCAACTATTTTTAGCAATGCAAATTTTCTAGTAAAAAATTCTATGCATTAGATGCTTTTTTATCAATCGCTGAAAAATTCACAAAACTCACGAAAGCCCTCTTTGAAGATCGTTTATTGCACTAATATAATGCCTTTGCTTTATTGAAATATTATGTCATTAGAAATTTCTTCTTGGAATCGTATGCCAATCGATATTTTGATATAGACTTTATTAGAATTTGAAAAATCTTTAAATCTTAATTGAAAAAGACGCGTATTCCTGGCATGCTCATGTTTTTTTTAATGCATGTTATTATAAATATTATTAGTGTAGTCTATTTGATTTCATACGATATTTTCAGATTGAACGCATAATAGATCAAAAGCAAAAGTTATCACCAGGTGTTGAAATATTAAATATAAAAATTCATCGTGACGCAAATGGAGGCCTTGGCTTGTCCATTGCTGGTGGTTTAGAATCAACACCTTATAAGGTTAGTTTGAGAAAATTATTGCTTGTAAAAATTTTTGCTACAAAATTTGAAAAATATAAAAAT